CTATGGAAACTACCTACAGTCGATGACTTTGTTGGTCGCGTGTTTCAAATTGCAATGTGATAGCCAACAGCCGGTGCAGACAGCTGTGCGGCCCGTTTCCGATATTATACACGTGGCCCGCAGCGGGCAGAAGGTGATTGATATAAAATGCTTTTTTTGTCGTTTTTAAGTCAAGTTTAGGAGATCATTTCGTTATCTATACTAATATTATAAAGAGGTAAGTAATTAAGTTTGTATGTAGGAGGTAATCTTTGGAACCGCTGGTCGGATTGGCAAAATTCGTTCAATGATAGATAGCTACAATGTTCCTGAGTGCTATAGGCTATAAAACATCACGCCACGATTAAATGGAGCCGAGCAGCTAGTGTTTTTATATAAAGGTTAAACAATGTCTGATCGAAATTTGATTTGTCTTACTGATAGGTGTTTAGAAAGGAGTTCATTTGATTGCACGGTTTTTTTTTTGTGTGGGGAATATCATCAAATGACTTCTCCCGCCCAGGGCCGGGCGTTAGGGAGAGTCAGAATCTTACTGACTAAACCCCCCCCCCCTGTTCCTTCTCCTGCTCTGGGCCGAGGTCGCGGTGCCTCATTGCGCTTACCCCGCAACCCCGGCTGGACATCAGCCCTATAGGGCCCCGTCTGTGGTGGTCTATTGGCTCTTTGAGGCGCGCGCGGAACGCTACGCGCCGTACGCTCGGGGATTTGATTGCACGGTTGACGCTGTGGCTGGGCAAGTGGTTGTCTTGCAAACGTGTCGTGGGTTCATCATAGTAGCCAATTTTTTATTTGAGGGTTTCACACATCTAATTGCTTTCTCCCAACCTGAGTGAGACTCCTATTGTTTAAAAATCACCGCATTTCTTTTCCTGCTCCAAGCCAAGATTGCAGTATAGTATAATAGCGCTTGCACCGCAACGTCGGCTATAATTGAAGATGCTATTTAGTAAACAACACTTCACATCATCAGCCTATAAGTGCTCAATGCTGAAAAAAGGCCTCTTCTCACACTGAGAAGATTTAACCCGTTGAATGTCGGTTTATAAGACACAATAGAAAATATATTGTGTCAAGCACACAGAGAAGGTTTGAGCATTAACCACCACGCTTGTTCAATGCGGATTGGCGATTTCAAACTTATTAGAAATTGTCAGTCCAGGTTTCTCTTTACGCATGTCAGTGGTATCTAAATATTCATAGAAAGTAGTTACCTGATAACTCGGAAAAAGTGACATTGCCAGGTTTCGAATCTTCGGGTTACATGACATTTAGTTCATAGATCTCAAAAAATTCTCTTCGGCAATTGATTGGCAATCTACTGAACAATAACAAGACTATTCATATCCAACAATTAACAGTTCAATACGCAATCAAAACTTATATGACTCAGTATAACATTCTGTGCTGACTGAGTCAGTATTATGACGTGATAACTCATTAATAGAGTTATCTAATTAATAATGACTAACACCCGGTTTCCGAAAGGCCGATCAATGTTAAAATCAATTTAATCTCTTGTCAAGTCATTTGATTGGTTGACTGAATTATCAACAACCAATCAGATGACTTGACAAGAGATTTAAGAGGAGATTAGTTAATTTAAACGTTGACAAGCCTTTCAGAAACCGGGTGTAACTCTTAATTTCCTGACACTGACTTCCTCACCCTCCATCTCTCTCTTATCGGTAAAAAAATATATGAAATGATTCATCATCGTCAGCCGGTAGACGTCCACTGCTAGACAAAGGTCTCCCCTTTAGTTCTTCACGTTGTACGACAATTCGCCACCTGCATCCATTGGCTCTCCGTGACTCTGACTTGAGGTACTTCAAACGAATTTATTCGCTTCTAGCGAATCTCGCGCAGTTTCACCTGCTACTCGGCTCCGTTTAATCCAAGCGTGATGTTTTATAGCCTATAAAGCACTCAGGAACATTGTAGCTTATCTATCAGTGAAAGAATTTTGGCAATCCGACCAGCCGTTCCAAAGATTACCCCCTACATACAAACTTACAAATTTTACCTCTTTATAATAGATTGAAGTCATATCTTTCTATGCCAGGGTTTAATGTAGGACAGCCATGATTCGGCATTGCACTGCTCGACCTTCGTAAAAGAACCAAAGCGGTTTGATACGCTGTGTAGTTTAGCTTAAAATGGCAGGGAGCCCAATCCTACTGACAATTTTCTAACTGTAACTCGATTGCGGTATCCATGGATGGAGCTGATTTTCTACCATTAGGTGATCTGCCTGCTCATTAGCCGTATTATTGTATAAATAAAAACTGTGCCAATTTTCTGCCATTCGCCAAAAAACTGCCATCAAAACGCCAAATTTAGAATTTATAAAATTATTATTATTACATAGTATAAAACAAAGTCGCTTTCTCTGTCCCCTATGTCCCTATGTAAGCTTAAATCTTTAAAACTACGCAACGGATTTTGATGCGGTTTTTTTAATAGATAGAGTGATTGAAGAGGAAGGTTTATATGTATAATAACATCCATTAAATAGTGGAGAAATTTAGTATCAGCATTGAACCCGTGCGAAGCCGGAACGAATCGCTAGTTCTCTATAAAAATATCTAAGGAAAATATTTAAATAACAACACGCTCTACAACGAAACATCTGTCTAATAACCATTACATAATTAAGGGGAGTCTAATAAATATACTTTTTTTGTTTTCACAAAAACAGAACCGTATTAAACGGAAGCGCGCGCGCCACCATCTTCCCGCCAAACGGACGGACGCGCCATAATCGAAATCGACACTTCCGCCCGTTTCAAAAAAGGAACGCATTGTCGGTTTTTTTTTATTATCCGCTGGCAAAGATATTACGTTTGTCTGCCTTGTTGCATCCTCATTTTGAATGGCCCTCTTTATTTTGTTAATGGTAACCAATTATGTTTGTTTGTGTGTTGTTATATCCGAAACTGATTGACTGTTTTGGATGGTTTAATTGATTTGGAACGACGTTTAAATATTGATTTAGTGTTTGATTCGTTCTATTCTTTTGAATTGAAGTCGTTTAGTTATGATAATGTGTCTGTGGCGTTTCAGATATTTTTTTAATAAAATGAAAACAATATATTTTTGTAAACCGTCAAAATTATATACTTATAAAAAAGTTTCGATGAAGCTGGGAATATCTATCTGACTACTCTGAGAAGAAATGCCGAAACCAATTTAAAGATCCGTCTCTTTTAAAGTCCAGACAATGTGAAAAAATAATATAATGTGCGAGAACCGTGCAAGTTCATTCTGTAGTGGTCTTTTGAGGAAAGAACCACACCAGTTTAAATGGGCCGTTATGAAGACAGGCACGCAAGTGTCAGTTTACAACCAGTTCAGCTTACTTAGATCTGATTTCGCGGATGAGGTCGCTGGTATGGTAGTATCTAGTATTATGTATTTTTTTTATCGTCCATAGACAATATCACGTATTACATCATCAGCCTATAAGTGCCCACTGCTGAGCAAAGGCCTCTTCTCACACAGCGAAGGTTTGAGCATTAATCACCACGCTTGCTCAAAGCGGATTGGCAATTTCAATCTTATAATTAGAAATTATAAGTCGAGGTTTCCTCACGATGTTTTCCTTCACCGTATGTCAGTGGTGTCTTAATAATCATAGGAACTACATATAACTTGAAAAAAGTAACATTGGTACTTGTCAGGTTTCGAACCCGCAGCCTCATGAAAGAAAAGCGGGAGCCTTAACCGCCGGGCCACCACGATAGGCAACACAATTATTATATTAAAACTATAGAAATAAATTCATTCAATAATATATATTACACGACAAATGGTCGATTTGACAAAGGCCTATCCCAACCGGATATAGTACAAAAATCGGGAAATCCCCTACAATAGGTTGAACGGAACAAAACCTATTGAAGAAACGGATATACCGCCATTTTGCCACCGGAAGCGGATGTGGCCGGTAATAGCAATAAATGGTGACATTTTAGTATTACATGATTATAAACGATGTGGTTGTGTTTGTAAACCATAGATGTTTGATTTATTACCTTTTTTTATTAGGGGATAAGCAAAGGCGTATTCAGAATGAAGTTTTTTTTTTATGTAATAGGTCGGCAAACGAGCAGACGGATTACCTGATGGTAAGCAATCAGCGCCGCCCATGGACACTCGCAACGGAGGAGTTACGAGTGCGTTGCCGACCTTTTAGGGATTAGGGATTTGGAGATTTAGGGATTGAGGAGGGATTGGGGAAGGGGAAGGATTGGGCCTCCGGTAACCTCACTCACACGGCGAAACACAACGCAGTGGTTATTTCACGCCGGTTTTCTGTGAGGCCGTGGTATCACTCCGGTCGAGCCGACCCATTCGTGCCGAAGCATGGCTCTCCCACACTTAAAAGTTGCACTGTTCTCTCACATTATACAGGGTGTAATTGAATAGATGCGACAAATTTCAACATACAATAATACGTGTTGTCAAGAAAATTTAGATCTTATCAAATGTAAACTTTTATTATTGTCACGGTGACGTGAATGATCGCTATGTATGGAAACGCATATTAACATGCTGCACTGCGTTATTTCGGAGGAGCTTTCTTGATATTTAAAGAGATTGAGATGTATTTTGCATAATAATTATTTTTCTGTAATACAGTAATAATTCGTACTTAAATAAAGAAAACAACGTCAATGGACCATTTCAAAACGATAATCACATCATTTTATTTATTGTCTTAGATTGTAGAAAAAACAGTTTATAATTACTATGTTACTGCAACTGAAGCTCCCATTTCATTTTGTCGCATTCGTGTAACGATCGATCGATAAATAAAAGAATAGTTATTTTTCAATATTTTATTGTATTGAAACGTCGAATTTATTTATTTTGACCTAGGAAACTACCCAATTTAATACACCTTATTGTAGCCATATTTATGTGAGACTTAGTTGTTCAAAATATACGGAATCTAAAACCCATATTTTCTCTTTATTTCCAGGATATAAACACTAACAATGCCTACACAAGCTCGTTGTGACCGGGTACCCCCTCCGCACGCCAAGTGGGATGCCCTGGACCTGAGGGTTTTGCAAGAAGACGATCTGCCATTGGGTAAGAATTTCTTTTTCCGTAAAAATTTGGTGCTAAAAATGCTATTATATGCAGTATGAGAAATGCTGTCATCGTAAGTTTTTTATTAAAAAGTAGCTACTCTCGCGTTGTTTCACTCGCTGCTGGGCCCATATAGATCGTAGCGTGATGTTTTATAGCCTATAGCAGTCAGGAACTTTGTAGCTATCTATCAGTAAAAGAATTTTGGAAATCCGATCAGCGGTTCCAAAGATCAACCCCTATTCATTTTTATATACCTAATACTAGCGAACGCCTGGCATCGCACGGTTTAATTATTTAGTAGTTTAGATGTTTAGTACAGACTAAACTCGAGGAAGGACATATGATAGTTTTTATCCCGGGAATTCAAAAGGAGAACTTCCTATGAGATCAGGAACTACGTAGGTGAAACAAAATATCTGCCTTAAGTCACTATTCCACGCGGACGAAGTCGTGGGCAGAAGCTAGTGTAACTAACTAAACTAGCATATAAACCTTCCTCTTCAATCACTCTATCTATTAAAAAAACCGCATCAAAATCCGTTGCGTAATTTCAAAGATTTAAGCATACATAGGGATATAGGGACAGAGAAAGCGACTTTGTTTTATACTATGTAGTGATATGATGTTAACGAAAACCCCGTTTCCTTCCAGATCCTCGATCCTGGGGTCGTGCGGAGGTCGGTACATGGGTGTCACGACGTGGCGGTCTACCGGAGCGGTTTCCTATGAATGGGAAAGCCTTGTGTCTCATGTCGAAAGATATGTTTGCATCAAGAGTGCCACATAACGGACATCTTCTTCATCAGGTTCGTTAACCATTTTATTTTATTGTGAATAAACTTATAACTTCTCTGGTGTCAATGGGTAGCGCTGATTGGTTGGAGACTAGGTGAGAATTTTCGAACTCGAAAAATCTAAGCCACATAGAAGCCATTGCTATCAATTCAGCAAATCATAAGATCATCATCATCATCATCAGCCTATAAGTGCCCACTGCTGAGCAAAGCCCTCTTCTTACACGAAGAAGGTTTGAGCATTTACCACCACGATTGCTCAAGACAGATGGACGATTTCAATTTTTTTTTTACTTGAATTAAAACTAGTTTAATTCAAGTTTTAATTCAAGTAAAAAAAAAATTGAAATCGTCCATCTGTCTTGAGCAATCGTGGTGGTTGACTTCGATCCCACCTGATGGTAAGCAGTGATGCAATCATTGATGGTAAGGCGCACTAGTTTATTAAGAGCCTATTCACTCTAGCCTTGAAGACATCTAAATTATATTTGGACGGAAAGACTGCAGCCGGCAAACTTCCAATCCTGATGTACGCGGTATAAATGATGAGGCAAAACGCTTAGTCCGGGCCGCAGGTGTCTCAACAACGTAAGGGTGGAAATTACAATGAACTTACAATTTATTAGAAATAAGTCCAGGTTTCCTCACGATGTTTACCTTCACCGTATGTCAGTGGTGTCTAAATAATCATAGAAAGTACATATAATACGGAAAAAGTCACATTGGTACTTGCCTTTCCACGCCCTTATGCATGAGATGCGGGCGCCCAACCTCCCGGCCACAACGAATAACCAAGGAAATATATTTTTTTCATGTTTTCAATATTCTTACCTACTGTTTTTATTGTTTCAGGATTTTAGAAGAAGGCTAGCGAAGGCTTTAGCTTTACAGGAACTAATAGAAAAGATCGCAACACACTGACTGATAATTTAGTAAAAATTACTTGAAAGAAAAACCAATTTAGAGGCTTAATAAAGTTACTAGGAATTACTAAACTGCTGACTCCATAATAAGTAGTAGTCGTCATGAGCTAATGTTCACATGTAAACAGCAGCTCATGTAGTGTAGATCTCCAGTCAACAAGGATGTAGCGAGGTTGACTGTCCAGGCGACACACGTACTTAGGTATCGTCATGAGCTAATGTTAACACAATTTAATTATTCTTTGCCCGACTTGGGATCAAAATTGGTAAAATTAGACCAATAGAACTATTTTTGTAATTCAAACCAAAAGTTTCAATGTAAGTATGTTTGTTACGCTCTCTCTCGTAAACTACTGAACAGATTTTGATAAAATGTTGACCAGATATAAATGAAATTATAGACTTATAAACTATTTTATACATACAATTTCATGTGCATTCAACTGTAAAAGTAGCTATAAAATATTAAATTTTTGCGTAATAACTATCTTCAGATTTGAAATTCTTTAATTAGAAATTAAATCATAGAAACATCCAAATATTAAAAGACCGACAACGTATTTGTAACTCCTCCTCCGTTGCGGGTATCCATGGGCGGCGCTGGTTGCTTACCATCAGGTAATCCGTTTGCTTGCTTACCATCTTATATCATAAAAAAACATTTTAAAACAAACTCCTAAACGGCTGACCATATTTTATTGAAATTTCGCATTAGTAAGTTTACGTTTTTTAACTGTTCTATAAGTATAATTATTAGTTATCATTATCAGAGAGCAGAGCTACTCCTTAGTGGGTATATCACACCCACGAAAAGAACAGCGGTAGTAACAAACATATTGTCCTGTATTATCACCAATGTAATAATAATAATCAGTATTATTAAACCATTTTGTTATTTTAATAAATAAATAATTACCTAGTTCATATATTGATTATAAATAATATTGTAAAATAATTACTGTTTTGTATATTATGTAGATTTGTAATTCTAGTCAAGGATGTAAAACTGTAAATAAATGATATTTTCAAAAAATTTTTTTTTTTTATGTTACCCTACAAGTCATAATCGTCATCCACCTAAAAGAAGTGTACTGCTGAACCAAGTCCTCTTCTAACTGGGAGGTTTCTTTTGAGGAGTGTGAATGGGTCGGCTCGACCGGACTGATACCACGGCCTCACAGAAAACCGGCGTGAAATAACCACAGCGTTGTGTTTCGCCGTGTGAGTGAGGTTACCGGAGGCCCAATCCTTCCCCTTCCCCAATCCCTCCTAAATCCCTAAATCTCCGAATCCCTAATCCCTAAAAGGTCGGCAACGCACTCGTAACTCCTCCGTTGCGAGTGTCCATGGGCGGCGCTGATTGCTTACCATCAGGTAATCCGTCCGCTCGTTTATCGACCTATTAAATAAAAAAAAAGAGGGAAAATAAACCCTCCAGAGTGGTCCACCTCCATGGTGGTCATCGGGCAAGGTTTGCCGCCTCCATGGGAGTTTGCGAGAGGATTTTCAAATCATCATCATACTATACCCATTCGTCGTCTCTTCAGGACGGAGGGAAACCATTATTGATTCAGGCCTATGGGGCTGACAGTGGCCCCAACAGATTACCTGATGGTTCATCATCATCAGCCTATAAGTGCCCACTGCTGAGCAAAGGCCTCTTCTCACACGGAGAAGGTTTGAACAACCACCACGCTTACTCAAACCGGATTAGCGATTTCAAACTTATAATTTGAAATTATAAGTCCAGGTTTCCTCACGATGTTTACCTTCCCCGTATGTCAGTGGTGTCTAAATAATCATAGAAAGTATATGTAGGTAACTCGGAGAAAGTCACATTGGCACCTGCTTGTCAGGTTTTGAATGACAAGCGGGCACCGTAACCTTCTAGCCTTCAAGGACTAGCTACGCTAGCTAAGCTACACTAACATAATATAAACTAGCTACTGACTACAGAGTTGTCCATTTGATCGTAGCGTGATTTTTTAGCACTCAGGAACATAGTAGCTATCTATCAGTGAAAGATTTTTAGATAAATTACATACTACATACAAACTTACAAACATCTTTATAATATTAGTATACATAGGTATATAATTATGCAGGTATTGACGCGAAAAGTAAGATAAGTGCAATCAGGTCGAAACGTCAAGCCTACCAAGGTATTAAAATAATTACCTATACATAGGAATAGGTATATATATTTTTTATGTAATTGGTCGGCAAACGAGCAGACGGATTACCTGATGGTAAGCAATCAGCGCCGCCCATGGACACTCGCAACGGAGGAGTTACGAGTGCGTTGCCGACCTTTTGGAGATTTAGGGTTTGGGGGAGGTGAAGGATTAGGCCTCCAGTAACCTCACTCACACGGCGAAACACAACGCTGTGTTTGTTTCACGGCGGTTTTCTGTGAGGCCGTGGTATCACTCCGGTCGAGCCGACCCATTCGTGCCGAAGCTTGACTCTCCCACATATTTAAGGTTCAATTTGAATAAAAACAAAAGGAATATTATTGAGATGGTAACTATTGTTTATTTTTTTCCGAGTAATCCAGGTAACCCTGCGGTGGCTGTCCCGGCCAGGGACTGTACCATGCTTGCTCCAGCTGTTGTAGCAAGCTGTGTGGCGAGGCCCTCCATATTCTTTTTAAATTCATCACAAAACTTTTGCAAAATCCCTTTGAATTGATCTAAACTAACATTCTTCTTGTCTGGGACGTCGTTGAAGAGGGAACGTAGCTTGTCTTCTTGTTCCTTGGTATCATCTACTACTTTTGCTGTGAAAGAAGAATTGGAATCTATAGGTATATATAAAAGAATGTCGTGTTAGTTACTCCACTTATAACTCAAGAACGGCTGAACCGATTTAGCTGAAAATTGGCAGGGAGGTAGTTTAGAGCCAGGAAAAGGACATAGGATAGGACAGAGTAGGTAGTGTAGGGTAGGTAGAGAAGGGCAGGTAGGGTAGGGTAGAGTAGTATAGGTAAAGTAGTGTAGGTAGAGTAGGGTAGGTAAAATAGGGTAGGTAGAGAAGGGTAGGTAGTCAAATGACGGGAGCGACGCCACGGGCAAGAGCTAGTATTAGATAAATTAAATGAAAAGATTCTTCTTTTCTGTTGATGAACAGACTAATTACTTGGTGTTACGCAATCAGCGCCACACAGAAGCAAAAATAAGAACTTTAAAGTGTTTGTGTTAAAAGTATTTAAAAACTTTTTTGGTGATTTGAGGAATTTGGGAATTCGAGATGGGGAACAGGGATTGGAATCACTGACAGAGACGCGAGTCGTGACGAACAACGCAATAGTTTTTTCACGCCACTATTCTGTGAGGCAGTGGTGTATCACACTGGTTGATCCGGCCCATTCGTGTCAAACCATTGCGACCCTACATTTCCAACTTGGTCCCACCTTTAAAACTGCACGGTTGGCGCTGTGTCTGGGCAACCGGTTGCATCGTAACGTGTCGCGGATTTGATTCCCGCACGGAACAACTCGTTGTGTGATCCACAGATTGTTGTTCCGGGTCTAGGTGTAAAGTGTATGTGAAATTGTATGTTTGTAAACGGACACACGGCACAAGAGAAAAACCAAATTCGACGTGAAATATTTTTAAACGCACTACAAATATAATACTAAACTCTTTCTGTCACTCCGTACTGTCAATAAATTGCAGTTAAGTTAGGTTAGCGACAGCGGAATTATAGATACGTAGTCCAAGCGAACCGCATAATTAGGTATCATCATCTCCTGTCTCCTTCAACGTCTAGACAAAGGCCTCTCTAATCCCCGGTTTCCGAAAGGCCGATCAATGTTAAAATCAATTTAATCTCTTGTCAAGTCATCTGATTGGTTGACTGAATTATCAACAACCAATCAGATGACTTGACAAGGCGCGCGCCTCTACAAAGAGCCAATAGACCACCACAGACGGGGCCCTATAGAGCTGATGTTCAGCCGGGGTTGCGGGGTAAGCTCAATGTGACACCGCGGCCGTGGCCTAAAGCAGGAGAAGGAACAGGGGGGTTTCTAGTCAGTAATAGTCTGACACTCCCTCCCGCCCGGCCCTGGGCGGGAACAGTCATTTGATCATTTCCTCCTCACAAAAAAAACTAGGTCTCCTTCCGCCCAGGGTCAAAGAGACAATAGACCAGGGTGGTCTATTGTCTCTTTGAGGCGCGCGCGGAACGCTACGCGCCGTACGCTCGGGTCTGGTTCTGGTTGGGCGGCGAGTTGCCCTTACTCGCCGTCCGCAGACCCGCGATTACGGTGGCCGGAGATCGTCCCTTGATCCCCAACGCCTGTAGTGTCGCCTACTGCGGCGGCTGGGGCGTGAGGAGGAGGATTGCTACCTCTTTGCGAGGGGAGGAGTCATAGTTAAGCTAGTAAGGTTGCAATACTCACAGTCTTTCATCCATTTTACTATATTATCGACATCATTCTTCCCCTCTTTCTGTAGATTACCGAAGGCAGCCTCCATTATTTATTGAACTAAAAATTTATATTGTTTTTTATACAAATTGTTATTTTCAAATTTATTTTTTTTACAAATTAATTAAAGATTATGTCATTGTAAACAATATTTATAATCTATTTGGTTTGGTAATTTAGAAATGATATCCAATCTATTAGGTTATGCACCTAACCTATACGTATATATTCAAAAACCAAAAAGAAATTATTTTAATTCCTGTGACATAATTTGACAACTCTCGTCCAAAGAGTACAGTATATACTATCCTCTCTTCCACAGAGAATCTCTTTGCAAAAAAGTATTATTAAAATACCAGTTTCAATGTGTGAGAGCCATGCTTCGGCACGAATGGGTCGGCTCGACCGGAGTGATACCACGGCCTCACAGAAAACCGGCGTGAAACAACCACAGCATTGTGTTTTGCCGTGTGGGTGAGGTTACCGGAGGCCCAATCTTTCCCCACCCCCAGTCCGTAATCCCTAAAAGGTGCCTACCTTTTAGGACGCAACAGAGGAGTTACGATTGCATTGCCTAATGCAATCGTAACTCCTCTGTTGCGGGTGTCCATGGGCGGCGCTGATCGCTTACCATGAGGTAATCCATCTGCACGTTTGCCTATGACATCAAAAAAGCAATTTCCGACTTCGTACTGAGAATTTTAAGGTCAAAAAATTGTTAAAATACATTAACATCAACTTTAGTAATTGTCTTCGAAATAGATTCTACTTCCTTCGGTGAATTTAATGCGGTTAACGGCACAGAAAAGACTGTAGAAGACAACTGGGAGAAGTCCAGTCACCAAACACCATGGAAAGTTTTGTATGTATGTAATACACCTGATGACACTAGATTTCCACCAGACAATCGGCAAAACGTTATCGCTAAATGGTGGATATCCCATCCACACGTACGAAGTAGTTCGCCTACAGTTTTTATTATCAGAACCGCTAAGGAGTGGAATTCTTTGCCGGAGTCTGTGTTCCCAGAAGGGTATAACCTGGGTGTGTTCAAGGCCCGAGTGAATAGGTTGCTTATGGGTAGGCGTGCTCCATCGTAGGTCGCATATTTGCTTACCCCCAGGTGTGATAGCGGCCAAATGCTTGCCCACTGCTAAATATAAAAAAACATTAAAAATATCTAAAATAATGTTAAGTTCGTATTGCCAGAGACTAAACTCCCAGAGTTAATATTATGATGGAAAGACTGGTCGTGTCACAGTTCCGTTGTTGAACATTGATACTATGGAGAGACGGAAAAAATCATGTATTGATTTTCTCCACTTACTGACTAAAAATCACACCATCCCTTCTCCTGTTTCGAGCTGGACTGCTGTACCTAATTGTGCTTGACCTGCAACCTCTGCTAAGATCTGTGGGGGTCTATTGGCTCTTTGAGGCTCTGGTTGTGGTCGGGCGGCGAGCTACCCTTACTTGTAACAATGCACGCAACTCCAGCTGGACATAGGCCCTGTGTATAACTCTGGCTGGACAATCGATCGGCATGCAGTGTACTCTTGGGTCACTTTGGATAACTCCTGACGCGTTGGTTGGGATCACGGGTTGGGATGGCAATTTCAGGATAAGATCAGAGAGCTCCCGGCAAGGAAAGGGAATATGGTTATAACTGTATGTGCAAAGCGAGTAGTGGCGGACAGATAACGACCGCAGCGCACAACACGGCAGAAATTGGAAGCAAATGCGGATGATCAGCTGTCGGTTTTTATTATTTTATTCATTTTACAGTTAAACTATTGTAAAAAGAACAACCACTTACATAATTCTGTACGTAGGTATATAACTGAGAATAAATGAAGCTTACATATTTGTCGTTATATTTTTAGTTACCGTGAGCGCTCTTCGCCCTACCAGAACCTGACCCGAGGTCACTCAAAGAGCCATCCGAACACCAGAAGACATTGACTTAAATAACTAACATGTTTTATTATGAAAAAGAAAACAAAGCCCATCAAATTACAATTTAATTTACTCTAAATACATGGTCTAACGATACAATAATATAAGGGTATATATATGTCATGACTTTCCTTCAGGATGGCACCGTGTTCTGGAATGAGAGCATTCCCCAACACCTGAGCTCCCTCCACCAGTTTTCGCAGAAGCAGGAGGTGTCTCCATTAAGCGTTTTGCTAAATCTTCCAAGGTTTTTGACAACTGAAGAGCAATTTGGCCAACAACATTTAGAAATTCATCAAGCTTAACTTTTTTACTGTCTCCCACGGTGGCAAATAGTGCGATCGCTTTTTCCATTTCTTCTTTCGTGTCTGTTATTAGTTTTGCTGTAACAATAGAATTAAGAGTGTCAGACTCTTACTGATTAAAAACCCCCCGTTCCTTCACCTGCTCCGAGCAGGGGTCGTGGTCCATTATTGCTCATGCACTCACATATCCGAAGGTGACTCGTGATCTACTTTTTTATGTGATAGGACGGCAAAACAAACAGTCAGGGCACTTGATGGTAAGCAATCGCCGACGCCCATGGACACAGGCAACACCAGAGGAGTTACGAGTGCACTGCCTTTGCCGCTTTTGGGGAAAAAGGTTTAGGAGGTTTAGGGATTGATGAGGGAGGGACTCGAGTAGGATTAGGTCTCCGGTTTTGCGAAGTAAGCACAATGTGGCACCGCGGCCTCGACCTAAAACACGAGGAGGAACGGGGCACTTTAGTCAGTAAGAGTCTGAGACTGTATCACGCCTTACCCTGGACAGGAGAGGTCATTTGATGATTTGCCCCTGACAGAAAAAAAAAAAGAAAAACTGCCTCTGGCAACCTCAACTACACAGCGAAATACACCGCTGTTGTTGTTTCACGCCGGTTTTGTGTGAGGACGTGCTAGCATCATTGACGCAGCAGAAAAATATTCAATGATAGAAGGAAGTCCCATGTTACATCGAATATTTTATCTGTCGGGTACAAAAGCTGGGCTAGGACAGCAAAAGAGAATACTAATAAAGATAATACTTTGTCCCCTTATTCGGGAGTATTGAATGAAAGTAACTTTGTTTGTCACTTCTTTCCCCTTTCCTCACTCAACTAATTTTCTTCACATGTAGTTGGGAATACGTAGAAGAAACAGGGTAATTTTTGAGGACAAAGCCACGGTTAAAAGAGGACTGTTTTTTGAAGTCATATAAACTAATGCTTGACTGTAATCCCACCTTTTTTATGTAATAGGTCGGCAAACGAGCAGACGGATTACCTGATGGTAAGCAATCAGCGCCGCCCATGGACAACCGTAACGGAGGAGTTACGAGTGCGTTGCCGGCCTTTTAGGGATTAGGGATTGAGAAGGGATTGGGGGAGGGGAAGGATTGGGCCTCCGGTAACCTCACTCACACGGCGAAACACAACGCTGTGGTTGTTTCACGCCAGTTTTCTGTGAGGGATTTTCGCCAAACTTTCTGCTTCGCACAGCCAAACTTTGTAGGTAGCGGTATTACCGAACCGATACGACCTTCAAACCTTCAAGAAACAAGTGTACACTTTCTTAAAACACCGCGCACGTGACTCCTCTCATAGCGCTGATCACATACCATCACCTTCCTTAGATATTGTTCGCCGCATTGTGTGGGAAACTAATAGGATCTCTCGTCAAAAGCTACTCGAATAAGTCATTAAACATTAATTATTGATTTAATGTCTGACAAAAGTAAAAGTCAAAACCAAAAAATAACCTACAATATTGCATGCGTGGCCCACTCGACAGGAGTGATCCGACGGCCTCAAAGAAAACCGGCGTGGAACAACTACAGCGTTGTGTTTCGCCGTGTGAGTGAGGTTACCTGGAGACCCAATCATTTTCCCCCCATCCTCAATCCTCAAATCTCAAATCTCCTTTCCTTTAATCTCTTACTTGTAGTAACTCCTTTGGCAATACGATTGTCTATGTGATCTGTCTACTAATTTGAAGACCAAAAAAAATATACAAAAAAATATAGCTTTGCCTAACACGGAGACTAATAGCATCTTGAACAAAAACAATAAAGTTTTAATCAGGGTAATGTTTTATTGTCATCTATTTCTTTTCGAGAGCTTCACGGAAGGCCTGCACTCCAGCCTTTGCAGCATCTAGGAAGCGAGGGGCCTCAGCAGCGAGCTGCTTAGACAGTTGTTCTACTGATTTCTTCTGTTCTAGGGCCAACTTCTCAATTATTTCTTTAAATTTCTCCAGCTCTACGCGTTGGATAGACGATACATCTTTGAACATTTCTTTTAATTTCACTTCTTGCTCTTTTGTAGCGTCAATCAATTTTGCTGTAAATATCATCAAATGTTTTATTTCAATAAAAACCGATAAGGTATTGAAAAAAGGTGAATAGTGTCAGTCCCAGTTGGTCGGTCCCTTAGTAAAGCTGTTAGCTTATTTCAAAGTGTAGATTCCTTTGGAGAAAGAACATTAGCTCGTGAGGATACCTAAGTACGTGTGTCGCCTGGACAGTCAACTTCGCTACATCCTCGTTGAATGGACATCTAAACTACATGAGCTGCTGTTTACATGTGACATTAGTTTTTTAGTTAGTTTAGAGTTTACATGTGAACATTAGCTCATGACGATACCTAAGTACGTGTGTCGCCTGGACAGTCAACCTCGCTACATCCTCGTTGAATGGACATCTAAACTACATGAGCTGCTGTTTACATGTGACATTAGCTCATGACGATACCTAAGTACGTGTGTCGCCTGGACAGTCAACTTCGCTACATCCTCGTTGAATGGACATCTAAACTACATGAGCTGCTGTTTACATGTGAACATTAGCTCATGACGATACCTAAGTACGTGTGTCGCCTGGACAGTCAACTTCGCTACATCATCGTTGAATGGACATCTAAACTACATGAGCTGCTGTTTACATGTGAACATTAGCTCATGACGATACCTAAGTACGTGTGTCGCCTGGACAGTCAACCTCGCTACATCCTTGTTGACTGGACATCTCCACTACATGAGCTGCTGCTTACCTGTGAACATTAGCTCATGACGATACCTAAGTACGTGTGTCGCCTGGACAGTCAACCTCGCTACATCCTTGTTGACTGGACATCTACACTACATGAGCTGCTGTTTACATGTGAACATTAGCTCATGACGATACCTAAGTACGTGTGTCGCCTGGACAGTCAACCTCGCTACATCCTTGTTGACTGGACATCTACACTACATGAGCTGCTGTTTACCTGTGAACATTAGCTCATGACGATACCTAAGTACGTGTGTCGCCTGGACAGTCAACCTCGCTACATCCTTGTACTACTCTGGTACTTACAATCTTTTATCCATTTCATTAAGTTGTCCACATCAGTCTTTCCTTTCTTCTCGAGATCTTTAAAAACGTCGTCCATTTTGTTTTTTAGTTTTTATTTTATTAGGAAAATATTTTGGTTTGTGTAGTATGGGTATGGTGACTGGTTATTGTCAAAATGTATAATTATATAAGTTTTTTTGTCATTTTTTGACATAATTCAACCGTCTGGATATTTTGGAAATTGTTAATTTTGGCGTTCCTATTTATAAAATACTTTTTGGTGAACGATGGGCAGTATGTTCCAAAGGTCTTTGTTGTGTAGGGAAAATCATTAAATGGTTTCTCTTGCCTAGGGTTTCGAGAGAGGGAGTGTTAGATTTCTACTGACAGTAAAACCCACGTTCCTTCTCCTGCTCTAGGCCGAGGCCGCGGCATCTTATTGCACTTGACTGCGATAAAAGTGGGTGTAACAAAGCCTAAATTAATTAGAGTACGATTGTTCACGACTCACTGAACTCGACATTCACGTGTCCCGCGCGTTGTCGCCCGACATCACACGGTACCTTTACGGGTTACACAACGTATAATGAAGGGGGTCAGCTTAGTCCCACAAAGTTGTAGAGTCACACTGTGCTTGTGGTGCGCTGTGTCTCCGCAACATGTCTCCCGGTGGAAATGTGGCTTTGGTATAGAGCAGCAAATAAATTGTGGACTTATTAGGTATATCAGCATCGGTGGAGGTAAAAATTAGAAAAAAGATTAAATGAGTGTTTTGTTTATGAGTTTTAAACAAATACAGTCTTAAGATGAACCTCGTTTTTATTTCGCAGTGTTTTTCGTATTTTTTTTTTTTTGGAATACAAGGCGAACGAGCAGACGGTTCACCTGATGGTAAGTGATTGGCGCCGCCCATGGACACCTGCGGCACCACTAGCTTACTGATGGTAAATGGTGATCCGAAAGCTTCTTTACTGACCTATCATTTAACTGTTTTTTTGAGCTCTCTCCAGTTGTACCTATAAAAATGTTTTTTCCCAGCACACCTCCGTACGCCAATACAGACGAGTAACCATGGAGTTTCTTGTTCGTTCTTCTCCATCGGAATTTATACTTGAGAACGAGCTGATTGCTTCCCTATAGTTCTGACCAGCAGACTGACACTTATCTTTAAGCTTTTTTGAAGTTCAAAAGTGCCTGTAAGGGTCGAATTGAAATAAATGATGTTGAATTTAATTTTGCCGTATTAGAAGATATATTGACAGAAGACGCTAAGGCAGCATTGACGTTTTCTTTGATTATATATAGTGTAAAAAGTATGGACCGAGTATACTACCCTGAGGAACGCCGAATTAAAATCGAGATAGCTTTATTTGCAAATTCTTATGTTTTCTTTATTGTTTAGGCTTTGCTAAGTACCAGTTGAACTTGTGCAAAGGAGTCCTTCTCATGTTTACAATCTCCATTTTTTTAAGGAGAATTGTCTAGAGATGGTTTGTCACGCTGATCAAGAAATAAGCCAATAGGCTTATTACTTGATTTAGCAAAAGCTATGTTTATTTAGCAATGCTATATTTAGCATTCACCGTTTTCTATTTGATTTGAGAAAAGCGACTCAGTGTATAGTTTGAAGAGGTGAGATTTTTAAGGTTTTCGTATGTTTAAAATAATGTCATTGTGATTGAGGAAACTAAATTAGCTTTTGAGTGTCATTGTAATTTTGTATATATGCAAAATTAAGATGAATTTCGATGAACGCTCAAGCCTTCAATAATGTTTAAAAAAACAATCCTTTGGAATTGTCTCATAAACAAATAAAATCATCTACATCAGCCTGATGTCGTCCACTGCTGGACATAGGCCTCCCCAATTGCGCACCACTGAGCTCGATGTTCAGCTCTTCTTATCCAACCACTGCCAGCCACCCTGCGGATGTCGTCGATCCACCTAGCTGGAGAACGTGGTCTCCACTCTAGAACACGTTTACCCAACGGTCATCGGTTCTTCGACAAATGTGACCTGCCCACTGCCACTTCAGTTTGCTAATCCTTTGGGCTATGTCGATAACTTTAGTTCTCTGTCGGATTACCTCGTTTCGAATACAATCCTTCAGAGAGACTCCAAGCATAGCCCTTTCCATAGCTCACTGCGCGACTTTAAATTGGTGGATCAGTCGTACTGTAAGTATCCACATCTCGGCTCCGTATGTCATCACTGGTAGGACGCACTCATTGAAGACTTTTGTCTTCAGGCTTTGCGGTATCTTTGACGAGAATACCCGACTAAGTTTCCTATATGCTGCCCAGCCAAGCTGTATCCTTCTACGAGAGGCTCGTAGAACTTGTTTCTACTGAACTGGATAGTTCGTCCGAGATAGATGTACAAATAAAATAAAACACTTTTATAAACTTTTTTTAATTAACACAATATAACATTTGCATTTTCAATAGTTCTTGTTCAATAAACTATATTATGTTGTGTAATAACCATCGAAAAATACTAAATTTATTGAAAACAACGACTTACTAACGTTAATTAAGCTCTACTAGTTTCACGTCACAACGGGACTCTTAATCGTGAGCAGAATATCTAAAGTAGAGTAAGTAGTAATTTTCAATAAAGCAAATATTCCATCACTCTTCAAATCTGGCTTCACTTGTTAACTTGCTGGGTCTGGACTGTCATCAGAGACTTGGGCTTGATTGCCGCTAATTATTTGAAGATTACAATCAACAATATCGCCTTGGCTACCGGCGGCTACCTCGCCTTGACTGCCTGTTGCCACGCCGTTACTGACAGCTCCCTCATCGTTGCTAAACGTGACCTCGCCACTACTATCTTGCTTGAGTAGTTCACTATAGTCAGTTATTGTACTTATGTCGCTATTAATTGTTACCGGAGAGAACATTGACAGTATGTCCGATCCAGGTATAGCTACGTATATACCGGGACATGAATCCACTGTGACAAAGAAGTTAGGTTATGTTAATTAATAATTTTTGCTGTGAAGATCTCGTGGATCGCTCCTTACGAATTCTCTGTAGGTCTTCCTTGATCTACCTACTTCTCATTTTTATTTGAGTACCCTACTATCGTATCTTATTAATTTTTTTACGATCTTATCTTATTTTTCTTATGAGACAGGTTGAAAAATGGTTACCGGGGGCCCAATCCTTCCCTCGCCTAATGCCTCCTCAATCCCTAAATCTCTACCAAACATCTTATCCCCAAAAGGTCGGCTACGCACTCGTACCTCCTCTGGTGTTGCGGGTGTCTACAGGCAGCGTTGATTGCTACCATCAGGTAATCCGTCTGCTCACTTGCCAGTTGGTGATGATGATGATGATGACATACATTACCTTGTTCAAGTACAGCAGGTATCTGTCGAGCGAGTCTATCGTTCATTTCTTCCATAGACTTATTCTGTTCTTTAGCAAAAGCGTTGACAATCTCCTTGAATTTATCTAGCGTGATATTCTTGGCATCTGGGACATCTCTGCAGAGATTTAGTAGCCATATTTCAGTTTCTTTTTTTGATGGGTCTATTACTTGTGCTGAAATTTATTTAAGGATGGTTGGTTATACGAGAGAACTACAGTGTTGAAGATGTAGAAAACGCTTCTCATGAGGATGTGGTTGCGAAAGCTGGCAATTACCAATGTGACTTTTTCATAGTTATAATAATATACTTTGTAAGATTTTTTAGACACCACTGACTTGAAAGAGGAAACGTGGACTTACAATTTCTAATTACAAGTTTGAAATCGCGTATCCACCTTGAGCAAGCTTAGAGATGAATGCACAAAATTTCTCCTAGTGAGAAGAGGCTTTTGCTCAGCAATGGACACTTATAAGCTAATGATAAGAGTTCAATGTAATAATGAGAGAAATTAGTATGTGTGAAGGACAAAAGAGAAAATCATAGTATGAAGCAACTTCGAAAATAATTGCAGTAAAATATCATGGACTCGAGAATTTACCTAGGAATAATATTAACCGATATTACTTGGATTTCATAAGACTCGTACACAATATAAAACGGCAAAGAATCAGACGGATCTCCTGATGGCAAGCGATCAATGCTGCCCAAGGTTACCCGTTCAAGAGTTTAAAGTCATTGTTGGCTGCTGGACTATGGGCTTCTTCTACATAACAGGGTTTGCTACAATCTCCACTCTTGGCAGGATCATTGCAAGTTGAAGATAATTGTTACGAGTTCTCATTTCGGAATGGGCAAGCACTTGGCCGTTATCACGCCTGGCCGTAAGCAATGATGCGACCTACGATGGAGCACGTCTACCCATAAGCAACCTATTCACTCGGGCCTTGAAGACACCTAAGTTTTTTTTTATGTAATATGTCGGCAAACGAGCAGACGGATTACTTGATGGTAAGCAATCAGCGCCGCCCATGGACACCCGCAACGGAGGAGTTACGAGTGCGTTGTTGACCTTTTAGGGATTAGGGATTTGGAGATTTAGGGATTGGGGGAGGAGAAGGATTGGGCCTCCGGTAACCTCCGTCACACGGCGAAACACAACGCTGTGGTTGTTTCACGCCGGTTTTCTGGGCGGCCGTGGTATTACTCCGGTAGTGCCGAAGCATGGCTCTCCCACACTTAGGTTATAGAATAAGACCCCTTCGGTGAGCACAGATTCCGGCAAAGAAGTTAGCGGTTCGGGTTATAAAACTGGAGGCGAACCGCTTCGTGCGTGTGGGTGGAATTTCCACCATAAAGAGATGATGTTTTGCCGATTGTCTGGGGGTACGATGATGGAAAAGAAGAATGCTTTATATACCTCGTGCCATCCATTTTATAAGGTGTTCTATATTGTTTTGTCCTCTGATTTGTAGTTTAGTAAATATTTCTTCCATTCTAGATTATTTTCCTTTTACATTCTGGTTGTTTTTAAGTACATTTCCTTACAGTAGGTAATAAATTATTTCAATATTTTTAATTAGCTGCAATATAAAAATGTAGTTTACAAATACTGTGATACAAAATTTTGACAAAGATAACTATGACACTATGACAGGGTAATAGTCAATCCATTTTGTGATATAGTTCTGCTCTTTGGTTTAGTTTTCGAGAAGTTTATTTTACATCTAAACAAAATTTCTTGTAGCGATAAATGAACTGACGGTTCACCAGTAACTAATCGCTGTCGAAAGCACCCCCATGCAAAGGCAATTATAAGTTCTCTGGGAGCGGCAAACGAGCTGACGAAGATTGTAAGCAATCAGTGCTGCGATAAGCACTCACAAAGAGAGGAATTGCAAGTGTGTTGCCAGCCTGTGATGGTTAGGCATTTAAGGTTTGAAAAGTTTTGAAAACAAAACTTTAACGTGGAGGACTCCACGTCAAAACACTACTCTGACGAGGTCATCGGTCCACCTACCGGGAGGTCTGTCCACGCTACATCTTCCAGTCCGTGATCACCACTCTAGCACTATCCGGACACATCCACCTTCATTCTACAGGGCCTGCTCCTTGCCACTTAAGGTTGCAGATTTTAGGAGCTATGTCGGTAACTTTGGTTCTTTGGCAAATTTCGACATTTACGGATTTTGTCGCGCAAGGAAAAGTCTCTTCATGGCACGCTGAGAGACTTTGTGCCTTTCTGGAAAGCTAAAATTCAGGAACTACATCTCAGTTTCATACGTCATGACTGATGATGGTCTGATCCTGGTCTATTGGAATATTTGATAAGAAGACTTCATTTAATTTGCAGAACGCTTAATCATCAAATGGTTTTCCCTAACTGGCTGAGGCGAGAGGGAGTGTCAGACTCTTACTGACTAATAACCACCCCGTTCCTTCTCCTGCTGCAGTCCAGGACGGCAGTATATTATTGCGACTCCAGATCAGAATTTCAAGAGTTCTGACCATCCGAGTTGGATTCTTCGGGCGACCCTTTTATTATTATTGTTTTTCTCATTGTTAGACCAACATAGCTTAATGATCTGTGTAAAGTATGTGTCTTAAGCAAAGCCTACCCGATTTACTTTAATAAAATATATTACAAAATGATAAATACAACACATCAAAAACCAAAATATATTTATCTTAAAACATAAATCGGCAGTATTTTACCTCCTTATCTACTTACATAGTTATTTCTACGCTCGATCTTGACCATTGGCTTAAGAGAGTGTGGAAGGGAACTGAGACAGCTCGTAGGTACTGTACCTAACTCTTTCTGTGCTAACTGAAGTTTAGATTGCCTTATTTTATAAGTTATAGATCGACAAACGAGCCGACTGATTACCTGATGGTAAGCAATCGACGCCGCCCATGGAGACAAAGACGATGCAAGTGCGTTGCTACCTTTTGGGGAAACAGTTTCGGATATTTAAAGATTGGAAAACTCACTCACTCATTCTGGGAATGAGGTAACTGGAGGCGCAATCCCTCTCCCTCTCCCTCCTCCTATCCCTTCCCAATTCCTAAGTATCCGAAACACTTACCTATCCCTAAAAAGCCGGTAACGCACTCGTAACTCCTTGGTGTTGCGGGCGTTCATGTCCATGTGAGGATCGACAGCTTACCATCAGGTAATCCTTGCTTGCCGACCTATCAAATAAAGAAAACAGGCTTATAACTATACTGAGTGTACAATGGGTAGGCTTATACCACAGAGTGATTTTTACAGAGAATCTCTCTTCAAGATTTACTTCAATCGAAGCAGAAATTCCAACGATAGCTCCGATCAAATAAATAAACAAAACACAGATAGATATTTTGGAAAAAATATGAATTTGGAAGAAATGTACATGGTTCTCTACGGTGCGAGCGGGACGGGAGGTGCGAAATTCGATATTGTGAAAAAATGGTTTAGGGAATGCGAAATTATTGATGAGCTTATTCTAACTACGAAACTGTTTGAAAATTCATACGACAGAGTTAGAGAAAATAGGTATGATTTGACATTAGCACAGTTCATTCAGTTATTAGGTATATTGGCCAGGGATACGAAACAGGATTTGGTTATCTTTCGAGACAAATTTGATAATGTGAAGCAGAGAATTATAAATGAAATTCAGGCGAAGACTGATAACTAATCTTTATATGTATAATTCTGCCGTAAGTGCGTATGTCATTGAACTCCTCATAAACGGTTTGACTGATTTAAATATTTTTTTCTGTAGGATGGTTTAGATTCATAAATGAGCACAAAAGATGGCGCTGATGGCTTGAAAAAGCATGTGTTCTCGGCAACGACTCTATCGGTTTCGCTGAAATTTGATATGCAGGGTTTTCGGGGAGGGTCCACTAGTAAATACATAGGTTACTTACCTAATTTTTTCCATAGTAATAGTTTATTACGCATTTTTATTGTTTTTATGTGATATGTAATGCGACTTTATGGTAAGCAATCGGCGCCACCCATTAACACCCGAAGCGAGTTACGAGTGAGTTGTCGGCCTTCTACCCTTATTCCCAATAAGGGTTTCGGGAGGGTAAGGAATGGAAAAAAAACTCACACGGCGATATACGCATCACATAATAGAAGTAACTTAATAATGTAATTAGTTTGTAAAACTGATTGAAAAAGAGTAACCATGGAGTTTTTTGCTCGTTCTTCTCCATCGGAATCTACACTTTGGAACGAGCAAATCGCTTCACTAGAGGACTGACCGACAGACTGACACTATCTTTAAAATAGATTGACAGAAGACGGTAAGACAGCATTGACCTTAACGCGAAAGTTTTAAAGTTAGCATTGACCGTTTTATTTTGTGTAAAAAGTGTTGGACCGAGTATACTACCCTGGGGAACACCGAATTAAAATTGAGTTAGGTTTATTTGCAGATTTGTTTTTTTTTCCTAAATCGTTAAGAGTTTGCTTTTAACTTTGTCCTTTAACACAACGCTGTGCTTGTTTCACGCTGGTATTATGCGAGGTCGTAGTATCACCCTTTTAGAGCTGGGACATTCGTGCCGAAGCATAACTCTCCCACATTAAATGTTTAGGTTTTTTGTTTATGTATTCCCCTCGTTAGTCATGTGGAGATGCATATTTTAAATTAATGTTCTACTTAATACATTTTGGTTAACAATATTTTATTCAAATAGTAATTAAGTGTGGGAGAGCCAAGCTTTGGCACGAATGTGTCGGCTCGACTGGAGTGATACCACGGCCTCACATAAAACCAGCGTGAAACTACCACACCGTTGTGTTCGCTGTGTGAGGGAGGTTACCAGAGGCCCAACCTTTCACCAATCCCAAAATCTCCAAATCCCTATTCCCCAAAAGGTCGGTAACGCACTTGTGTCCATGGGCGACGCTAATTGCTTTCCATCAGGTAATTCGTATGCTCTTTTACTAATGTATCACATAAAAAAACAATCTAATTTTCTCAGACTTTGGGATTATGTCCTTTAATTATAGCTATTAAAAGACCTGGCAGTATTTATCATCCCCAATATCCATATAAGAATCCATACTTACTAACAGAATGAAAAAAAGAGAAATAAAAACACAAAAAAAAATTAATCATCTATATTTTGTTATAAAAATACATTGATATTAAAACTAAATAATATAATAACATTAGCAAAATTTTATAAATACAATACAGTACATGATTAGAAGAATATTATTGTTATACTAATTATACACGATATATATTTTTAAGCAAAACAAAAAAAGTTTATTTTCCTTGCATTTATTTCTATTTTACTTGCCGACTAGCTGACGCGCGTATTCGCGCGTACTTGGGCGATTTTCTACTGTGTCGTGTGTGCGTTTACAAACATACAATTTCACATACACATCACACTAAGACCCGGAACAACAATTTGTTGATCACACAGAGTTTCAATAGGGAATAGTACTCGTGATATTTTAGCAGTCTTTCGTCCAACCACCTAGATACACATTGATATGACTAAGGTCTGATTGTTCAATGGTATGATAAAAGTTACCTCGGGAATATTTATGATGCTGTCGCGTCATAATGTTTGTATAAGACAGTGACAGCAACAATTTTATTCCTCAGATAACATATATCTGACTATTGAAAAATCAGCCCTAAACTTAAAAAAATATGAATTAAGAGCTCCGGTTCGCTCGAAATTAGTCGGCTCACCTCGAAATAGCTTCCATTCCTAAGTAAGCATTACTTAATTAGTTTTTTGGAATATAGAGATAGATTTTTATTGGCTTAACATACAAATGTACCTTAGAGTTTGCCCAAACACGAGCGTATACGCGCGAAAATGCTGTTTTTAAGAGTGAATAATGTACTTTAAATTGATATATTTTGTTTTTTTTTCTTTATAAGGTTTTACTTGAATAGTAGCTAAATTTTTCAATGATTATGTAATAACAAAAAAAACGTATTTTTTATGAGCCAACTTTTCAAACGTTCTTTTTTATTTCAATTTTTACATTTTACAGAAGTAGTTATCGTGAGACATACTAAATGTATTAACAAAAACGTTTAACTTAAGCGAATTAACCAGAGAAGAGTTCCACAAGTTAGTATGGGCAGCGTGCATATCCAAACCTAATATTATAAATGCGAAAGTAACTCTGTCTGTCTTTTCTTCACGCCTAAACTACAGAACCGATTTCTGTGAAATTTTGTACAGACATAGTTTGGAACTCGAGAAAGGACATAGGATAGTTTTTATACCAAAAATCTGCAGGAAGTCACTATTACACGCGAACGGAGTCGCGGGTAAAATCTAGTCATGAATAAGAGTCCCGTTATGAATTGAAACTGGTAGGGCTTTTCTCAATTAATTCACTTGAATAAGTCGTTATTTTACATACATTTTGAACAGTGGTAAAATTAATTTTAACTAGTAAGGGTAGATGACAGGGTACGAAATCAAAAATCTATTTGATGAGTCACTAACACCCGGTTTCCGAAAGGCCGATCAATGTTAAAATCAATTAAATCTCTTGTCAAGTCATCTGATTGGTTGACTGAATTATCAACAACCAATCAGATGACTTGACAAGAGATTTGACACCTAGTTAGTTGATTTAAACATTGATCGGGCTTTCGGGAGCCGGGCATAAGACAATGAAAACATATTACAAGATTAAGTAATTTTTTTACTAATCAGTCAGTGAGTTTATGCCATTTTTAAACTTAATTTCGTTTTATCTACGTATTGTTTTGTTATAGAAGAAAATACAAAAAAAATCGTGTCTAAAATATTTTCATAATCTTAATGATGACATTTATAACTTACATACCCTGAAAACTCACTAATATTAATAGATAACTGAAAATAATTTACTATGTAAGTAAAACCTTATAACATACATTATTTCGATTTGTTTCCACCAAAAGAAAAATCAGATGTACTTAAAAAACCAAACTTGGACAAGTTTTAGAAAACATATTTACATCATAAAAAATAATTAAGGAACATACTTTTCAGTTGCTATACACATAGAAACTGAAAAATTGAAAAAAAAAATGTCAAAATAATACTACCGTTTTAAAAATGTATCTTTTCCTTTTAAAAAGAATATCTTTGGAAGAAAATAAAGATAGACTCAGTAGAGAAGCATAGTTTGTCTACTGAGCCGACCGATGGCTTTTTTGGATGAATGGATTACCTGATGGTAAGCAATCAGCGCCGCCCATGGACATCCGCAACAACGGATGAGTTACGAGTGCGTTGCCGAACTACTGATGATTTGGCCTCCGGTAACCTCACTCACACGGCGAAACACAACGCTGTGGTTGTTTCACGCCGGTTTTTGTGAGGCCGTGGTATCACTCCGGTCGAGCCGACCCATTCGTGCCGAAGCATGGCTCTCCCACACTTACACACTACAGAAGACATGGCTTCATTACAAACTATATAATATAGTGTAACTATAGCTTCTTTAGCTCTCTCTACACTCAATCTATCTTTATTTTCTTATCTTCATTCCGAATAACTTAGATTTCTTGTACGCATTTATTTGTCTGTAAGCTCTCAATAATTTCGAAATAAGCCAAATGCGGTATAGAAAAAAAATGATGCTTCTCATGCATGAGGGTTCGAAACCAGTACCCATGTGACTATTTCCGAGTTATGTGTACTTTCTATGATTATTTAGACACCCCTGACATACGGTGAACGTAAACATCGTGAGGAAACCTGGACTTTAAGTTCTAATTATAAGTTTGAAATCGATAACCGGCTTTGAGCAAGCGTGGTGGTTAATGCTCAAACCTTATCAATGTGAGAAGAGGGCTTTGCTCAGCAGTGGACACTTATAGGCTGATGATGTATAGGTAATATAGACTGGACATCTACAAGAGCTGAATGGAAGCTTCATATGTGTTAAAAAAATATTTTAAAAAATACATTACTTTGTACAAACTGGTAACTTGAATTACAATATAAAAAAAAATGGAAGAATATTTTTTGGCTTTAAGGTTATTTTCTTCAAGTGTCGTTTAGAAAAAAATAAAAATATTAGTTTCTTGTAATACACCTGACACAGCTTCAGACTCCAAGCAGAGAATTTTCGTGTTCAAAAGATGCGAAATAAAAAGCTAGACAGACATTAATTAGTTTTTTAAGACATTATCAATGTCCTTTTGAAAAACGCGTAATTTATTAAGGCGATTCGTTATAATAATATAATATTTAAATGACATACTTTACTTTGATTTTTGTACGTTTTTCTTTTTATATAATAAAAATAGAAAGCTATATACCTATTTTAAAGCCGTGTTAGCTTCTAAAGGCTAAGGGTAGTATTGTAAGTTCGAAATTGGTATTTTTGTGAAACGTCTAGAATAGATAAAAAATGTGTTTTTGTTGATATTGTTTTGTTTATCACGGCTTGTTTTTATGGATTTTAAGCGAGGTAAGCTATGTTTAACGTATGTGATATATGTATATATGAATTAACTAAATGTGAACAATGTTGGTAAGTTTTTTTATATAAAAGTTTTATGGTAAAAATGTTTACAATCAGGTATTTACCTAAATCTGTGGTGGCTAATAAACAACACCTAAATAATCTTTATTTGTATTTTATACAACCTCTTTAATATAAAAAGACATATCAACATTGTTTACCTTCAGTTGATCACCTAAACTTAAAGACAATAATATTTTATGGAAAATTTGTTAAAAACTAAATTGGAAGCTACAGATTCCCATGTTTATAAAAAAATAAACAGTAAGAAAAAAAATACTGTAAACATTATCAAAAATTACGTTGTAAGTCTCATGTAGTAGTAGACTTCTTTGATAGTTATAGACATCAACATATCAACAGTATTATATATTTCCCGAAAACAAAAGGCTATTACAAAAACAATACAAAACGTCTTACAAAAAAATCTATAGCCAGCCTGCATAGTTATTTGGTTTGGAAGAAAATAAAGATAGAATCAGTAGAGAGACAGAAAGCCTATATAGTTTGTCTTCTAAGCCGAGCAATGGTTACAGAAGATATGGCTTTATTAAAAACTATATAATATAGTGTAACTATAGCTACTCTCTCTGTACTTAGTCTAACTTTATTTTCTTCCCCGTATACCGAATAATAACGATCTCCGGCCACAGTAAGCGCGGGGCTGCGGACGGCGAGTAAGGGTAGCTCGCGACCAAAATCAGACTGTAGCGTACGGCGCGTAGCGTTCCGCGTTTTCTTTCTTTATTTTCTTACCTTTAAACAGAATAACTGTGTAGACTGAACGTGCTATATCAAAATAAAATACCGTAAATAACAAAACAAACTTAGATCTACACTAATTAATATAATAATACAATACTAAAAACAAACAAAAAAATATAATACCTCAATTTTCTTCTAGTCATTTCACAAAATCACCTGATTTCTATATAATCACTGCAACACCTATATTTACACCAGACACAAACATATCAGTCTTAATTCATAGTTTTACTGCAACATTCACTTTTTAAAAGCAATTCCGTTATGGAAGTACGACTCAGCTGGCAATAGATGGCGTTGTACTCAAGTCTTTTCAACATTGAAATTGTTACACGGTTCCTTCGCGTTATAGCACTAATCCATTTTATAGCATAAGAAACGCAACGTTATTTCCGTAGCATATTGCATACACTACTTTGGTTATTTATAAAGACGACAATATATGTGCGCCAGTGACATTTTCACTTTTAAAAGGTAACACCAAGTTTTCTTTGCTCTATTTGTAGTTACGAAGTACACAGGGCATCTATTAACGATATCGACATAGGGATCAGTAAACAGTCGCAAAAATACAGAGAGGGATAGCAGGGGAAAAACTGGGGTTTTTATTCAATAAGAGTCTAACAATCCCCGCCACCCCACACATGTCGGAATTTTTTTTTTTTATGAGAAACCTCCTACCTTAAACCGAGCACCCTTTTATATAACAAAAGGAGACGACTATTCAATTGAATCGTATTTTTAGCTTCATTTCTACACAAAACACCCAAACTTGATACCAACGCCATCTATCGTAGACTTAAGTGCAACTTTGAACTGATCTAACCGTGGGACGTTTGCCCACTGCTGGGGTAAGATCATCCGTTGATGCTGGCCTCCTGTCTCCGCTTGGGGATGAAGGAGACGGTCATCAGATCATCGTCTTCTTGGAGTAAGCAACCTTCAGCAGGTTTGCTTCGGTGAAAGAGTCTGTGAAAAAAATATTGAGGGTTAAAAATATTCAGTTTAATGAGGAATAAGCAGACATGTAAGTACTTGGTACGTATATACATGCGCGCGTGACTCTTTGAGTCAATAGAACAACACCACAGATAGGGCCTGGTGGACCCCATCTGAGGCGAAATATTTGGCAGGGGTTGCGGGTCAAGCGCAATAAAGAATTTGACACTCCCTCTCGCTTCAAAAAGTGTATAAATGTCACCGGAAAATAACAAGATCCGTAAGTTTATCATTTTACTAGGAAGTTTATAAACTTTCGTAAGATTCTAAACGGGAGATAAATTGTAATATTTTACGTCCACATTTTCGTAAATTGATAAACTTACTGAACTCACTCGTAAAATAATAAGTAAGCAGAAACCAAACGCTACGCGCGATCTGATTGGTTGGTCACGTGTCACTTCTCCTTCCTCGCGGCCGCCTTTGCTGGCCACGGAACATAAACAAACCGGTTTGCTATTGAAACTGATAATAGAAAACTCAACTCACTACATCCGTGCCAGAGAGGAACCAGGCATTGTTGCCTCCAATTTATAGTTTGTCAAGTCTGATTATTCCAAAGTCTATGGACACAAGCATTGCCACTATGAACATTGACCAATCAGAGAACAGTGCGTTATTTTACGTATTTTAAAGATCGTATATTTAAAAGAGTTTCTGTGATTGGTTGAACCATGTAAAATCATACGAATAGATATTCGTTAGTTTATAAATTTACCGTATGACGTCGGAAATTGATAAATTTACGAAAATGTGGACGTAAAATATTACAATTTATCTCTTATTAGAATCTTACGAAAGTTTATAAACTTCCTAGTAAAATGATAAACTTACGGATCTTGTTATTTTCCGGTGACATATATACATAACACTAATACACACATTGGAGGAGCAAATTTTACAGTTGATATGATTTTTTTAAAGTCATTTATTATCATAAACCTATCGGGGTCATTAACCTTTTGCTTAAAAGTTTTCAATACTGCCTCATCTTTGCTTGGACCGTATATCTTCCATTATAAATCCAAATTATTAACATAACATCAACCAAAAACAGAAAAACAAAACACGCAATTGCTTTTCTCTCATTAATACAGAAAAACACATGCATAAAAAAACATTAGCACAATAACTAGCTATCGACAGATGTCGCCACCACCGAAAATAGACATAAAGTTACCTGGGGAATAATTATGATGCTGTCGCGTCAGAACGTTCTTATAAGACAGTGACAGCAACAATTTTATTCCTCAGATAACATTTATCTGACTATTGAAAAATCAGCCCATAGTCTCGTAAAAGTTTATAAATTTCTTATACATCCCATCTAAAGGTTGTCTGGAAGAAATCACCTTGTGTGATAAGACCGCCCATTGTAACAACAACATTCGGTCATTGTATCCAATGTATTGCTACTTGGTGTATGTGTGCATTAAGTATATATAAATAAATAAATAAATAAATGTTATCTGAGGAATAAAATTGTTACTGTCACTGTCTTATACCAACATTGTGACGCGACAGCATCATAATTTTTCCCCAAGTAACTTTTATCTAACCATTGAAAAATCAGTCCTATATGTAGTGACGAAACGTAGCGTATAGTTATTTAATTAAAAAAATCCCCTTTATTATGTTTTTATACACTGCCACCCGGTTTCTGAAAGGCTTGTCAATGCTAAAATTAACTAATCTCCTGTTAAATCTCTTGTCAAGTCATCTGATTGGTTGTTGATAATTTAGTCAACCAATCAGATGACTTGACAAGGGATTAAATTGATTTTAACATTGATCGGGCTTTCGGAAACCGCGTGTTAATGTTAGGTAACACCAAAACATATACACACGGACAGCACGACAAACACAACTATATCTGTAAGACTACATACTTATACATCAACTTTCAACAAAGCTGATTTCCACGAGTCGCGGTTCTTGCTGGAGAGAGAGAGAAAGGAATAGAGTTAGATAGAGATAGAGAATGGTAGGTGCAATGTTTAACTTAATAAATGGTAGATTTCAACTGCTTCAAAGAGTTAAATAATGTCAATTTTTTGGCCTAATCTCATTGATTGTTGGAGATCAAAGTACCACTTGACTTGTCGGCTTGACCGGAGTGATACCACGGCCTCACAGAAGACCGGCGTGAAACAACTACAGCGTTGTGTTTCGCCGTGTGAGTGAGGTTAACGGCGGCCCAATCCCTCCTCAATCCCTAAATCTCCAAATCCCTAATCCCTAAAAGGTCGGCAACGCACTCGTAACTCCTCCGTTGCGGGTGTCAATGGGCGGCGCTGATTGCTTACCATCAGGTAATCCGTTTGCTCGTTTGCCGACCAATTATATAAAAAAAAAACCACTACAGATTGGACTTGCACAGCTCTATCGTGATTTTATAATTGTTTGGACTTTAAAACTGACTAAACTTTTTAGTTTTTTTCGGCATTTCTCTTCAGATTAGACAGATAGGAAATGCGGGCTTCATCTAAACTTTAGAAAGTGCCACTTTATATACAATAATGTCTTTATTTCAGGTATCAAGTTGGGGGTTTGATATGGCATCCTTGAAGCTAGGAATTAAGTAATTTTTGTAACAAAAAATATAAGAAAAAACGTTTTATTTATTATGTTACACATTACACACACAATGAAGGCAGAAAATAAGAAATAAATAAGCTGAAAAGGAACATACATAACTATTCTAAAAATAACAATATCAAAATTTTGTAGCAATTTATAAAATTATAATTTTTGACCCTATTATTTTGATGGTAGGGTTCAAAACCTGGCAAGTACCAATGTGACTTTTTGCGAGTTATACGAACTTTCTATGATTATTTAGACACCACTGATGTACGGTGAAGGAAAACATCGTGAGGAAACCTGGACTTATAATAATTTGAACAAGTGTGGTGATTAATGCTCACTTTTCTCTCATGAGTGGATGATGATGATGATGATTCCAATCTCTAAAGACGTTAGTAAAAAGTTTTTAAAAGACAAGAAATAATTGTTTTATTATGCCAAAAAATCTGTGAAACTATAATGGTCTAATTGGAATAACTGATTTGACACTCAAGCATTTTAAATAAAATATGTCAATACCATTCGAATCCGGCACTTTTGAAGACAGCTATAAACTTTTAATTATTATTTACAACTAGAGATTAAGTAAACAAAACCAAATACAACTAAATTGCCAATATTATTTGCAACGAAATAGAACAAGTTTAAAACAATACTGCAAATACCTTAAAGCTTAAACTAAGGGCTCTCTTTAAGCGCGAAACTATTCGGGTTATGCCGAAACGTGACGAAATCGAACATGGTAACGAATCGAGCGATATGATAGCAAGTTATTTGTATGAAAGCGATCACATTACTTACAAATGGATGATGATGTGCATGGAAGTATAAAAAATATGTTGAAAAATTTAATTTTGAAAAAACATGTATATAAAATATATATAAATTATTATCAAAAAGGTCTTTAATGGTCGAAATATTATGTTTCTGTATGATAATGATTTCATTTTTTTTAAAACATTACTTTCCTAATAATTACAAGCATTAGACCAAATATGTAATATACTAATATTATAAAGAGGTAAAATTTGTAAGTTTGTATGTAGGGGATAATATTTGGAACCGCTGGTCGGATTGCCGAAATTCTTTCACTGATAGATAGCTACAATGGGCCTGATTGCTATAGGCTATAAAACAACACGTTACGATCAAATGGAGCCGAGCAGCGGGAAAAACCGTGAGAGAGTAGCTAGTGTAGTGTAGAGTAATTGTGAACGTTTGTGACAATGTATATATGGATGGACCTCTCATGCAAGAGGGTTTCAAAACCTGGCAAGTACCAATGAGACTATTTCCAAGTTATATGTACTTTCCTTTGCTTAGCAGTGGGCACTTATAGGCTGATGATGATGATGATGATGACGATGATCTTATAATACTAATAACTTACTTGGCTAATGGCGAGGCCCCCCTTTCGCTGGGGTCTATCCGCTCGTCCAGACCCCTGTGTACGGAGACAGAGTCCAGCTCCTCCAAGTGTATGGACTGAAGATATTCTGACGTCCGTAATTGTTCTAATGTTGGCTTTTTGAAACTGTTGGAGGAAGGATACAGTTTATAAGTATTTTTTTGTCAGCGGAAAAATCATCATATGTCTTCTCTAAGGCGAGAGAGAGTGTCAGACTCTTACTGACTAAAAACCCCCCTGTTCCTTCTCCTGCTCTGGGCCGAGGTCGCGGTGCCTCATTGCGTTTACCCCGCAACGCAAGCAGCCGTGGAGGAAGAATGGGGTGGTATATAGTCAGTAAGAGTCTTGACACTCTCCCTCGCCCCGCTTTAGGAGAGAAGTCATTTAATGATTTTTGATTTTTTTTTCAACAAAATATAGAATAGGATAAGAATAAAAATTTTTCCTTGTATACGATGTAGGTTACAAAAATATGTTAACAAGAGGTCAATATACTATACGGCCGACGTATTTTGGCGAGTCTGAAGTTAGCCGTTTGTCGACGCAATGGATCTTTTAGGAAAAAAATTCTAATCGGCTAACTTCAGACTATAGTTAGTGTACTGACGTTATAATAATGTGTTAGTTAAATACTTACGTTTTTAATAACAAACTTGAGCAGACGACTGATACGGAACTCATTGCCATCGCCGCTGACGCCATCCACGGCTGTTTTGGGATGAAGAAAAAACATTATTATTTATTCATTTAAACTTTAATGTACGTAAAATGTAATATTCTTTGCTATAACATAAAATTCTTCATTGTAAGTTTATTAAAAAATCTTGTCCAGCAACATATTTTTTATGGAACATTGACTACTAAAAAGTTCACTGGTTGCATAAAATAGTCAAATAAGGGTATGTCCAGCAACATTGCAGGTTATGAAAATGTATGTCCAGCAACATTAAAAATTATAAAAAAAATCATTATAACTACAACTCGGACCACAATAGAACATGCGATATGTCCAGCAACGTTTGAAAATTTTTACCCAGACTTAACTCAGGACAAAGCTAAGGAACTTATAGTATGTCCAGCAACACATAAAAATATGCCCAGCAACATTGTTTTAAATTTAAAACAGTGCCCTCTATCGGTCTTACCTGTAACTGCAATCCGAACATGGCGAAGGCTCCACTAGCTAGCGGTATGCCCAGCAAGTTGTATACACTGGCGAATAAAAAGTTGAGACGTACTCTTCTTACTGTGGTACGGGAGAGTTCTAGACACGCTACCACGTCCAGAAGGTCATTCTGAAAGAGAGAAGAATATATATATTTTCAAGTCGAAAATAACTACTTTCCCACTTGAATTGGGTAGTTTTCTTAATCAAAAATAAATTAAGTAAACCTACTTCTTATCAATACTAATACTATAAAGAGATAAAATTTGTAAGTTTGTATGTAGGGGGTAATCTTTGGAACCGCTGGTCGGATTGCCAAAATTCTTTCACTGATAGATAGCTACAAGGTTCCTGAGTGCTATAGGCTATAAAACGTCACGTTACGATCATTTGGAGCCGAGCAGTACGGGAGTAGCTAGTTTACTTTATTTTTCATACCGTAATGTCGAAATATGCTGCGCTAAATCAAATACACATTAAATCAAATCAAATTCATTATTTCAAGTAGACCACAACAGGCACTTTTGAACGTCAAGCAAAAAAGATATCATAAGGTTTAACTTTATATGTGTCAGTCTGTCCGTCTGTACTCTAGTAAAATAATATTTATTTATTTATTTATTTATTTATTTATTTATTTATTTATTTATTTATTATAGGCTTCTCAACAATGAGTACACTATACTATATAATTTGTACATTTCAAACTTAATTCTAAGTGCCCCATTACTTATAGAGAAGCACAGCATGCACTATAATATTATGCGAGGGTAGTAAAATAATTAATCGATTATGAATAAATAATACATTATCAGAAAAGTTAAATTGAAGCTGAATTGATTACAAAAAATAAAATCTGAATTAGATACTTAACACACAAAATTAAATTAAAATTAAGTAAAATAGATTAGATTTTAAAAATTAAATTTAATTTAATTTAATTTAAAACAATTAAATTTGACTAATTGATTAGAGGTACCCATTAGATAGCAAGCGTGGCTCTTTTAATAGCATGTACAGAAGAGGTGAACAAGTCAATATCCGCTTCGTGCTCTTTGTAAGCAGTATACATTCGTGATAGTGGACAGTGTTGTCTCAAATTGGTGCGACATCTCGGCATGCAAAAAAGTTTCCTGTTAGAGCTTCTCGTATATATATATGTAATACCTTACTTTATCCACATTTCTCGCAAATAAATATTTTTTTTTATTTTTTTCTGATAGAGAGCGCATATTTTTAATTACATTCCACTTACCCTCATAAGCACTAAGTCGGCGGCCTCGACAGCTACATCAGTCCCACTGGCTATAGCTATGCCCACGTCGGCCTGGGCCAGCGCTGGGGAGTCGTTGACCCCGTCCCCAACCATGGCCACCTTCTGCCCTTCTTCTTGTAGCTTCTGTATTTTGGCCACCTTGTGTGATGGCAATACTTCTGCGTATACTTTGTTTATGCCCACCTGTGGGAAAAATTAAGATATTAATTATATTGTTCACTATTAGTACATTATATATCAACGTCGTTGTGCCCCAGAGGTGCTTCTCATACCTACATGAGGGTTCGAAACCTGGCAAGTACCAATGTGAGTTTTCCAAGTTATATGTACTTTCTATGATTACCTATTCTATTAAATGTGGATGGATGGAGAGGGAGGGAGAGACCAAAGAAAATATGGATGGATTGTGTGAGAAGTGATATGGAAGACAGAGGAGTTAGTGATAGCGTGACGAGTGACAGGACAGAATGGAAGAAAAAAACATATTGCGCCGACCCCAAATAAAACGGGACAAGGGCAGGAAGATGATGATGTACTTTCTATGATTATTTAGACACCACTGACATACGGTGAAGGAAAACATCGTGAGGAAACCTGGACTATTTTCTTCGTATGAGAAGAGGCATTTGCTCCGCATTTGGAACTTATAGGCTAATGATTGATTGGTTAACACTTTTGTACTTGTCTAAAGTCTATCAACTGATTCGCCCAGTTATTAGAGATTAAAGGATAGGGGATTTGGGGACTGAGATTGAGGGTGGGGGGAAGGATTTGACCTCCGATAATCTCAATCTTACGGCGAAACACAACGTTGTGGGTGTTAACGGCGGTTTTCTATGAATCCGTGACATCACTTCGGTCGAGCCGACCCATTCTTGCCGAAGCATGGCTCTCCCACTTTCAGGCTGGTTTCTTTATTAGTTTTTCCACGATAAAGCGCTAAAAGCATACCATAATACTACTTTTAATTCGCCGCAGTCGAGTAAAGAGATATAAACTTACCTGTCTAGCGATAGCGACAGCAGTTTTTCTGTTATCTCCAGTCAGCAGACAGACTTGGAGGCCCATCTTCTTGAGGCAGTAGACCGCCAGGTGGGCTTCGGGCTTAACTTCGTCCGCGACGCCTATCGTGCATACCAGTTGGTCTACGGGAAAATCATTGAAAAAGTTTTTTGAAATCATTTTTCTAATAGAGCAATATGTCCCGGGATTAAATAATTCAGAATTATTTTCATGTATTCCTCTTTTAGCTTACACATGCAACCATTGCACTTAATTAACCAAGTCCAACATTGGCCTAAACAACACAATCGTTTAAAACAACAAATCAATCAAGAAAACTCCCGTAAAAACCATTGTCTAACGCTGTCCAAGTCCACGCTTACCATTGATAGCGGCGAGGCATCCACTGCTTTTAAATAACTATGTCCAACATTGGCCTAAACACATAATCATCTAAAACACTATAAATAACTAAAAAAACCCACACAAACCCTTGTCCAACGCTGGCCTTAAGTCCAACATTTAGCCCAGCAACTTACCATTAATAGCGGCGAGTACAGCAGTCCTACCAAGCTCCTCGTCTTGCTGCATGGCCTCCTGTACCCTCCGAGGGACTGTCACTCCGTTCCTGGACATCCACTCCCGATTGCCAATCAATACTACTTGTTCTACTTCCTGAAAATAACAGTATTTTTTTTATGTTATTTCGCTAAACGAGCCACCGGATAACCTGATGGTAAGTAATCAGCGCAGCCCATGGATACCTACAACAACAAAGGAGTTACGAGTAAGTTGCCGGCATTTTGGGGATAAGGGTTTGGGTGATTTAGAGATTGGGGTGGTATTGGGGGAGGAGAAGGATTGGGTCTTCGGTTGAGCGAGGCTCACACGGCGAAACACATCGCTGTGGTTGTTTCACGACGGTTTTCTGTAAGGCCGCGGTATCACTCCGGTTGAACGATGTTTTGTTATGGAGCCGTGAGAGAATCAATTCAAATATAGGTTACTAGAAGCCCAATCCTTTACTTCCCCATACCTCTCCAATCCAAAAAATTCTGTAATCCGAAAGTTATGCGAATAGCAACATTTAGGATGACTTTTCCACATTAAATTTTTTTTTTTTTACCAACAATCAAAATGGAAACCAAAGCGATTATAGGAACTGCTTTTAGGAAGCGTTGCGTTGCTTTTAGAACTGCAGGGCTACGGCGAGAGGAACTGTCAGACTCTTACTAACTAAAAACCCCCCTGTTCCTTCTCCTGCTCTGTGCCGAGGTCGCGGTGCCTCATTGCGCTTACCCCGCCACCCCGGCTGACTACGCGCCGTACGCTGGGATCTAGCTGTTTCTGCAGAGCTTGGGCTTACCTCCCCGCTGGCGGGCGAGTCTGTAGGTATGAGTGAGTGCAGCCTGGCGGCGGCCTGCGCCGAGCTGAGCGCCGCGTCGCGCCCCGGGGGGACCACCTCTACTGGTACACCCTCCACTACGAACGACGTACCCGACCTGCAGGGGAGCAAGACGGGGATATTTGACTAAGTCAAAATAATGACACTTAATTAATCACATACGAGTATTATTAAGCTCGTATTATATATTACTAGCTACTCTCGCGCCGTTTCACCCGCTGCTCAGCTCCATTTGATTGTAGCGTGATGTTTTACAGCCTATAGCACTCAGGAACATTGTAGCTATCTATCCGTGAGAGAATTTTAGCAATACCGGAGGCCCAATCCTTCTCCTTTCCCAATCCCTCCTCAATCCCTAAATCTCCAAATCCCTAATCCCTAAAAGGTCGGCAACGCACTCGTAACTCCTCCGTTACGAGTGTCCATGGGCGGCGCTGATTGCTTACCATCAGGTAATCCGTCTGCTCGTTTGCCGAGCTATTACATAAAAAAAAAAATAAAAAAAAAAAAAAAAAATCCGACCAGCGGCAAGATCACCCACAACACACAATTTACAAACGTACACATTTTTGAGTCTGACAGAAAAACGTTTTTAGTTTTTTTCTTTTAAACTCAAAAATCTATGACATATTAGAAAATTGTCGAACTTAACAAGTCATTAGAAAAAAGTATTTAATCTGGCTTTTTGCGTCGTACCTATTCAATTTTATTGTAATACATATCAATAAAATAATTCAGATCTGATTATTGTGACGAATGTGATAATGATGATGACGAAAATTATACCTTTATTATTATATATATTAAAAAAAATTGTTAGTTTGTATGTATGTAGGGTTCGATAAATTACCATCTTTGGAACCGTTGGTCTTATTGCCAAAATTCTTTCACTGATGGATAGCTACAATGTTTCCGAGTGCTATAGGCTATAATTAAATGGAGCTAAACAGCGAGTATCGGCAAGCGTCGCGTAGGACGTCCACCCGTAAGGTGGACAGACGACCTGATTAAGGTCGCAGGAAGCCGCTGGATGCAGGTCGCTTCCAACCGGCCTATCTGGAAGTCAATGGGGGAGGCCTATGTTCAGCAGTGGACGTCCTGTGGCTGATATGATGATGATGGTGATGATGATGATGATGATGAAGCAGCGAGTGAAACCGCGCAGGAGTAGGTAGTCTTGTGTATGTTCTTTACCTGGGTAGATTGTTGAAGTTGACGAGGTTGGTGGGCTGTCCCCCCCCCTGGGGCCGCAGACGGGCGCGCAGGCCGCAGCCCGGCGCCGCCACGAAGCTGACGCAGGTGAGCCCGCTCTGTCCGCCCAGCGCCGCGCTACACCAACGGACTATTGCTGAAATAGTACAAAATTATTTGTCTTGTGTGTCTATTGAATATATTTAGTACATAATAAGAAAAAAAATGTAATGAATGACGTTAAGAAGCCCGCTTCTCCTGCATGAGGGTTGGAAACCTGGCAAGTACCAATGTGACTTTTTCCGAGTTATATGTACTTTCTATGATTATTTAGACACCACTGACATACGGTGAAGGTAAACATCGTGAGGAAACCTGGACTTATTGTGACGGAAAAGAGTCATCATGACGTCTATGAATCGTTGTCAAACGTTGCCTTGACAAAGAGTTCGAGTCCCGCCGTAAGCATGGAGTTTTTAGTTGATGTAAATTTTGTGTAGAACTTTCTGGAAGCTTTTGGGTGAAAGAAATGGAAAATTAAAGAGCGAGAAGTAGAATAAAAAAATGAATAATGAAATGAATAATGAAAAGACGAACGAAATTAAATGTTCCAGAACCTGACCGGGGGTATATAAGCGGAACTGCGGCTCACCGCTGGCAGTTGAGTTCTAAGAAGCGATTCGGAAGAACAGGAAGAAATGAAATACTAGAAAAAATAGATTTAGAAAAAAGACTGCAAAGTCGAGAAACCAAAATTAATAGTCTAACTAAAATATTTTCACCAACAATTAGTACTCCAAAACAAAAATCTAGAAACTTAAACGAATCAAAGATTTTAACCACCCTGCAACATGAACCTGGAACAAAAAGGAAATCTAAAAACACACTACATAACGAGTGTCCTAGCTTAACCATTGGTACTACTACACCAAATACTGAAAAACAACCAAAAGTCAAGAAGATAAACGCGGAATGTATCACCCACACTACCATGCAGCATAACAAGGAAAAAACGACTACTACTGATGCTTCATATCTCAGAAGCAAAAATAATTATGTGAAAAGGAAAATACATGTCCTTGGTACCCAGCAAATTATGGACCTAACTACACGCCTACTTGACTTGAGATCGAATAGCTCATACGAAAGGTACTGCGCAGAAGGAATGATAAAACACTATGCAATCGCTAAACAACTGTTAAACACGGAGTTGACATGTAAGCCTTGTGATAAAATTATTATTTGTGTAGGAGAAAATGACTACAACCCTACTACTATGTTAAATGAATTACCTATATATGTTTATAAATAAATACAATAGTTGCCCAATTATCGTTCTAAGTGTATTGAATAATAAGCAACTAAATGAAAAGTTACTGAATAACAATTTAGAACTAATATGTAATAATAATGAAAATTGTTATTTCTTACGTACTTATAGTAATACGTGTCATAAGCTGAACGTCCTGATTGACACAATTGATTATAAAAAACAATATCTTAACTTCAACAAAAAACCAACTGCTTATTCGAAATGCTCCGATTTGCCCACATATTTTACTAAAAACATAGACACAAAGCTTACTTACCGACCAACAAGGTCATATGTCTACAAAAACACCCCAAATAATACTTTTTTTCGCACGTACTAGTAATACTTTACCTACAACTAAAACGCTCTGTGATCAACAGTACGATAATGAGCTAAGTAAGACTCAAGGTATAGATTCCATTACCAAAACTAATTGCCACACATTAAATATTCTTCATCAAAATATCGCAGGCTTAAGAAGTAAAAAAGAACTTTTAAAAATTTCGATCGACTCGTTTTTAAATGAAGGGTTAATTATTGATGTAGTATGCTTAACGGAGACATTTATTAAATCAGGTGAGGAAAGCAGCGTCACTTTAAATGACTACAAATTAGGAGATTGGTACTCAAGAAAGAATAAAAAGCGAGGCGGTGTTTGTATATTCTGTCTGAAACACATTGAATACAAAACACTGACACAATTAAAAAAATATGCATCTGAAAATGAGTATGAGTGTTGTGGAATTGAACTCATACAATATAACATTATAATAATAGTCTTATATCGAACGCCAAGCTCAAACCCTTTTGTTTTCCTACGAAATTTAGAAGTAATGTTGTGCAACCTTAGAAACAAGTCAAAAAAACAATTAGTGATAGTAGGTGACCTTAACATTGATATTTTAAGCAAAAAAATCGATCGAAATAAAAAATGCATTGACGAATTGACTAGGATTGTAAATAATTTCGGTTTAACACTACATATAAAACAACCAACAAGAAGGAATTCATGTCTAGACCAAATAATAAGTAACTGTAAGGATGCAATATGTGAGGTTATACCACTGGGACTGTCAGATCATGAAACAGCTCAGATGATATCTATACAAATAGACAATAAATTTCCACCTCTACGTTTCCGCACTGTTTATAAGCGTGATTTCAGCACCGATAATAAAGAAAAGTTCTTAAGCTGCATGTCAAGTTTAAAATGGACAGAAGTATTTTCCAATCGGGAAGCTAACAGTGCGTTTAATCACTTTCACGATACACTAGTTTTGTTCTTTGATTTGTGCTTCCCCAAAAATGAAATAAAAATAAACTTAACAAAAAAGTATACCAAATGGATTTCAGAAGGTATTAAAAAATCAACTAAAACCAAAAGGAACTTGCGCTTTAAATACTACTTTTCATCTGACAAAAACAGTAAACTGAAATACTTAAACTACAATAAATTACTTAAAAAATGTATACAAAAAGCACAAAAAATTCATTACACAAATTACATTACCGTTCCTTCACTCTTCAGCAGAAGACCTTTGGATTAACATACGATTTAAAAAGTTGTACTCACGAGAATTTGTAAACCTATACATTTGTGCTGTTTATTTATGTAAACAAAACAACGGTTATTCGTTCTCGAATCAACTTAACAACTTTTTTACTAAATTAAATCAAACTACCTTAAACAACTTTTCCGATGTGTTTTTAATTGTAGGTGACTTTAATATGAGTGGAATTTCGTGGACTTCATCTATTAATAATTCGCTAGTCCCGGTGAATCCAGCCACTAGCGACGAATGCGTGCTCGCCGACGAGTTATGCACTCTGGGTCTTCAACAATACAATGGAGTGACTAATGGGTATGGGAAATTGTTGGATTTGGTCCTCTCAAATAAATTAGCTTATGTTACTGAGTGTTTTGACCCACTTGTCACTATTGATCCCTATCATCCCGCCTTATTGGTCAATATAGACTTGTTTGAAATGCCTTCCTTGGACCATGCACCGCGGCTAAGATTTGTTTATAGCAAAGCCGATTTTATATCAATTAATAAAGAAATATTGGCAGCCAATTGGCAACAACAGTTTTCGACTCGATCTCTGGACGGCTCAGTTTCGTACTTTATAGATACTATAAAAGACTTACAAAATAGGTATATACCGCAAAAGCTTGTTCGTAATAATACTTACCCCATCTGGTTCAGTAAATCGCTCATTAGAACCATCAGGGAAAAATACAAATATCTTAAAAAATTCAAGACTTATGGTAATAAATCCGACGACTTAACTTATAAACACTTACGGCAAAGAGTCAAGACCATGGAAGCCTCATGCTATAACTGTTACCTTAGTCAAACTGAAACATCTATTAAAAATAACCCTAAATATTTTTGGACATTTGTTAAAAATCGTTGCAACTCTAACGCTATGCCTAGTACACTAAAATACAATAATGAATTATTACTCACTGGCGATTCCATTTGTGAGGCTTTTTCCACGTATTTCCTTTCCACCTTTCTCGAGCCCAGTTCAACGAATAGTCCCAATACAGACCCTGTTCCCTCCTCAAACACTGAAGCTCCCTCCGATATTTCTAACATTGAAATCAAAGTTGATGTTGTGACTGACCTACTCCGCAGTCTAGACCCGTCCAAAGGAGCTGGTCCAGATCAAATATCGTCTAGATTTCTTATTGAATGTGCTACCTCTATTTCATTACCTATCTCTATTCTGTTTTCCAAATCCTTATCTCAAGGTGTTGTCCCCGGAGTGTGGAAATCTGCGTTTATTACACCGGTCCATAAGAAGGGGCCTATAACTGAAGTTACTAACTACAGGCCCATATCTAAATTGTGCATTATAGCTAAATTATTTGAGCGTATTATCTATAATCAGCTATACCCGGCTCTTGCGCCTTCGCTTGGCTCCTTCCAGCATGGTTTTTTGAGGGGACGGTCTACAACTTCTAATCTGATTTTGTTTAATGATTTTATTACTAAGGCTATGGATGATGGTAGCCAGGTCGATGTGGTCTACACTGATTATAGCAAAGCATTCGATCGCATTGATCACGACACATTAATTAAGAAGCTAAGCTCTATAGGTATTCGTGGGGACCTGTTGAGGTGGTTCTCCTCATATATTAATAATAGATCGCAGGCTGTAGTGATTAATAATTACATATCTAGTTGGGTCTCAGTGCCTAGCGGAGTGCCTCAAGGTTCGTTACTTGGGCCCTTTTTATTTGTGATCTATGTAAACGACATTGATCTGTGCCTACAGTCATCCAAACTGCTGTGTTTCGCTGATGACATGAAAATCTTTTCCAAAATATCATCGGTCGATGATGGATTAGCACTTCAGGCAGATCTATACCGTCTTGAAGACTACTGTAGAGCTAATAAACTCGATCTGAATCCATCCAAGTGTTCAGTAATTACTTACACGAGGAAACGTGCCCCTCTAGTCACCAACTACATCTTATCGGGCCAGATTTTGCCAAGGTGTGATTCTATTCGTGACTTAGGTGTGCATCAGGATAGCAAATTAGTTTTTGACACCCACATTGACACTATTATCAAAAAAGCCTCTAAATTGCTTGGGTTTATTATGCGTCTCTCTAAGTGCTTTAATAACGCAAAAACACTTAAAACTCTGTATTGCACCTTTGTCAGAAGTCAGCTTGAGTATGCGTCTCAGATATGGAACCCACGTTACCACAAGTACATCGACCGAATAGAAAACATCCAAAGACGCTTCATTAAATATCTTTGTTTTCATCAAAAAATCCCTTATCACTCCATCGATTACCTTCGACTCTGTAAGAAATATCATTTATTACCTCTCAAAGATCGACGTGAGATTGCCGACTTTCTGTACGTATTAAAAATCTTCAATAACATTATTGACAGCCCCGAACTTCTATCTAAATTTCACTTAAATGTACCGCAAAAATTATTCCGCAATAACCCACCCTTACGTGTGCCTTTAGCATCAACAAATTACAGACAGAATAGTTTCATTGTACGAGCGAGTAGACAGTTCAATAATTTATGTAAGCAGTATGACTTTGATCCCTTTACGACTGGCGTGGCGTCGGCCAGAAGACGTATTAGCCTAAGGTTTTTTAAGTAGCATTTTGATTGTATCCCTAGTTTTCGGAAATGTCTATAATAATTGCATCACTTAGTATTTTTTTTTTCTCTTTTCTTAACTAAAGGTTTCTTGTTAATACTCATTGATCCTTGCAATTTACTTGTGTAATAAGCTGTAATCATTGTAAAAATATTGTTATGCTCACTTCTTAATTGTTAAGTCTGTCACTATACGTGAGAACTTGTAATTGGCTTTCCGTAGTTTATGTTGGCTTCTATTTTTAGTTAGATTATGCTGTAAGTCCTCCAGAGTGTAATAAATAAATAAATAAATAAATAAATTACTAGGGCTAAAAATAAATGTAAGGCGTCGTGGGACTTAATAAAATATAATACCAATAATAATCAAATTCAAGAATCAAATATTAAAGAAATAGAAACTGAAACTGGACCATTAACAAACCCTACGGACATTGCCAATTATGTAAATGAATATTATATAAATTTGACTAACAACGATTTTGACATTAACACTAATGATTATGACATTGATCCTATTAATTCCAGTATATTTTTAATGCCCACTAATGATAGTGAAATACAAAAAGTAATAAAATCGCTCAGGGACACAAATTCAACAGGTTATGACCAAATCCCTACAAAAATTATAAAATACATCGGCCCTACCATTACTCAGGTACTAGTACATCTAATAGATTTATCATTATTCACGGGAGTGTTTCCTGAGAAATTGAAAATGACAGCTATCAAACCTATACATAAAAAAGGTAACAAAAATCTTGTTGATAATTACAGACCGATAGCCCTATTGCCTATTTTAGCAAAAATATATGAAAAGGTCATGCATTCGCGATTAATAAATTTTATCGATAAGTTCCAAATTCTAAAACATCAACAGCATGGATTCCAAAAAAAGAAATCGACAACCACAGCGGCATTTAATTTAATTAACCTGGTTACTAAAAATATTGACCAGAAAATCCCGACAACTGTTGTATTTTTTGACATGTCAAAAGCCTTTGACTTTGTATCGCACGAGCTGCTACTGAAAAAATGTGATAAATATGGGATACGTGGTAAGGCAAATACATGGTTGAGAAGTTACCTTACAAACAGATCGCAATTTGTAGAAATTACTGTGGATAAACCAAATCAAAACGGTGAACTGACATTTAAATCCAAATTAGGGTACAATTGCACAGGCGTTCCACAGGGCAGTATTTTAGGCCCCCTACTTTTTCTTATATATATCAATGACTTGCCAGAAGTAACTGATCATCCCTGCACGCTCTTTGCTGACGATGTATCCGTAATTATCCCCAAAAATAAAGAAAACTATAATGATGAAATAAATAGTACCGTAAGCAAAGTAATAACTTGGATGGAAAAGAATAACCTTAAACCTAACATAGATAAAACTAAATATGTACAATTTGGTAACAAAAACTGGAATAAAATGGATTTAAACATCACTTATAAAGACAAGCAAATACAACAATCAGATAACATGACTTTTCTTGGGATAACTTTAGATGATGGGTGCTCCTGGGTTAACCATATTGATAAGATATGTGGAAAACTCAGTAAGTTTGCTTATGCTCTATGGCGTTTATCTAATTTAATAAGTCGACAAGCCACATTACAGGCTTATCACGCATATGTTGGTTCAATACTGCGTTACGGTATACTGATATGGGGAAACTCGGTGCATCTCGGAAGAGCTTTCATCGCACAAAAGAGATGTATACGTGCGATATGTAATGTAGACCCACTTACTTCCTGTAAACCACTGTTTAGGAAACTTAGAATACTTACATTAACTGGTATTTATATTGAAGAAATATGTAAATTTACCAAATCTCACCCTGAGATGTTTGAAAGACTGGGAGATACATGCAAGTTCAAAACTAGATATCCTAATAGACTCATTATTCCTAGAATGAAGTAGTAGGAGGAGGTCTTTCCACTCTAAGTCTTTCGGCCCGTGAATGATTGCTTACCATCAGGTAATCCGTCTGCTCGTTTGACCAAAACAACACAAAAAAAAAACTTACCAGAAGCTACAGGGTGTTCAGAATTGAGTTCAGCTGTGAGTAAACACGCGAGCACCGAACCCAATGTATTAGCGGAGCCAGTCAGTAGGGACAACTTCGCTACTGTGGCGCTGCCCCGCGTTATTGTACCCGTTTTGTCGAATATCACCGTTTTCACCTGGGAATAAGGGTTATTTTTGTTTAACAATATTTTTAAGTGTGTGAGAGCCATGCTTCGGCACGAATGGGTCGGCTCGACCGGAGTGATACCACGGCCTCACAGCAAAACGACATGAAACAACCACAGCGTTGTGTTCCGCCGTGTGAGTGAGGTTACCGGAGGCCCAATCCCTCCCCCTACCCCCATCCTTAAATATCCGAAGCCCAAAAGGCCGGCAACGCACTTGTAACTGCTTTAGTATTACAGGTGTGCTTCGTCGGCGCTGATTGCTTATCATCAGGTAATCCGTCTGATTGATCTTCTGAACTATACTTTACAAAAAGACTAAAAGAAGACTTATTTTTAATAAAATCTAAATATATCATCAAACAATAAATAAATCAACAAGACATGACTAAAATTGCTTTTAGAACGCGACAATTATCTAGAAGACACAAAGAGGTAACTTACCTTGTGGGCATTCTCCAAGGGCTCAGCCCCCTTGATGAGCAGCCCCAACTTGGCCCCGACCCCGGTGGCCACCATGACGGCGGTGGGGGTGGCCAGCCCCAGCGCGCAGGGACACGCTATGGCCAGCACTGACAGCGCGAAGTGGAACGCTGTTTGGACTATTAGCTCCCAATCCGCGTAACCGGCGTTCACGTACATAGGCTAAAAAGGAAAAAAGTAAACAAAAAAAAGGTAAAAAAACCTCAGCAAGTTTTTTTTTTCTGACATTCATTTTTTTAGAAATAAATGAATGTCAGAAAAAATGGGGAAAAAATGGGGAAAAAATGGGGAAAAAGTGGGGAAAAAATGGGGAAAAAATGGGGAAAAAATGGGGAAAAAGTGGGGAAAAAATGGGGAAAAAATATGTAAAAAAAATACCCAGTAAAGTTTTTTATTTCTAACATAAATTAAAAAAAAATCTTAGACTACTAATTTTTTCCGTGTCGTGGGTGCGTTTACAAACATACAATTTCACATACACATCACACCCAGACTCACGGAACAACAATTTGTAGATCACACAGATCACACAAAGAGTTGAACCCGCGACACGTTGCACGGCAGCCAGTTGCCCAACCACCACCAACCACCAACCGTGCAGTCAAACGTTGACTACTACGTAAGTAGTTTGAAAACGATCATAAATTTTACTAACATAAACTTTATTTTAATTCATGAAATAACGAAACAAAAATTTCAATGGTAACGATATTTTTTAAAGTTATCTATACTAATATTATAAAGAGGTAAAATTTGTAAGTTTGTATGTAGGGGGTAATCTTTGGAACGGCTGGTCGGATTGCCAAAATTCTTTCACTGATAGATAGCTTCAATATTCCTGATTGCTATAAGCTATGAAACAACGCGGGAGAGAAGTAGCTAGTTATAAGTTAAATTTATTGTTTTTGTATTTTTATGCTTGTTGTTATTTTATGCTGACGCTCCCAGCTTAATGAGCCGCCATTTCTAATCCCATTCTTTATTGGCATTGATAATAGTGATAATTAAACGATCATAAATTTTACTAACATAAACTTTATTTTAATTCATGAAATAACGAAACAAAAATTTCAATGGTAACGATATTTTTTAAAGTTATCTATACTAATATTATAAAGAGGTAAAATTTGTAAGTTTGTATGTAGGGGGTAATCTTTGGAACGGCTGGTCGGATTGCCAAAATTCTTTCACTGATAGATAGCTTCAATATTCCTGATTGCTATAAGCTATGAAACAACGCGGGAGAGAAGTAGCTAGTTATAAGTTAAATTTATTGTTTTTGTATTTTTATGCTTGTTGTTATTTTATGCTGACGCTCCCAGCTTAATGAGCCGCCATTTCTAATCCCATTCTTTATTGGCATTGATAATAGTGATAATTAAACGATCATAAATTTTACTAACATAAACTTTATTTTAATTCATGAAATAACGAAACAAAAATTTCAATGGTAACGATATTTTTTAAAGTTATCTATACTAATATTATAAAGAGGTACAATTTGTAAGTTTGTATGTAGGGGGTAATCTTTGGAACGGCTGGTCGGATTGCCAAAATTCTTTCACTGATAGATAGCTTCAATATTCCTGATTGCTATAAGCTATGAAACAACGCGGGAGAGAAGTAGCTAGTTATAAGTTAAATTTATTGTTTTTGTATTTTTATGCTTGTTGTTATTTTATGCTGACGCTCCCAGCTTAATGAGCCGCCATTTCTAATCCCATTCTTTATTGGCATTGATAATAGTGATAATTTGTCAACTTACCGGTGTAATACGTTTGATAATCTCGATGTTTAGGGCTCCGCTGATCATCCAACAGATAAGAGTGAGGAGTGACAGAAACACTACTAGAGGTACAAAGTATCTGTAATGGAAAATTAATTAAACATTAATATCTTACTAATCATCATCATCATCAGCCCATAAGTGGCCACTGCTGAGCAAAGGCCTCTTCTCATACGGAGAAGGTTTGAGCATTAATCACCACGCTTGCTCAATACGGGTTGGCGATTTCAAACTTATAATTAGAAATTACAAGTCCAGGTTTCCTCACGATGTTTACCTTTACCGTATGTCAGTGGTGTCTAAATAATCATAGAAAGTACATATGACTCGGTAAAAGTCACATTGGTACTTGCCAGGTTTTGAGCCCACGCCCTCATTCATGAGAAGCGGGCTCCTTAACCTCCGGGCCACCACCGCTAAAGTTAATTATAATCTTACTAATACATATTATAAATGCGAAAGTTAAGATGTTTGGATGTTTGTAACTCAATCACGCCAAAACGGTTAGACAGATCTGGATGAAATTTGGCACAGGCATAGGATACACTCCGGAATAGGACATAGGCTACTTTTTATCAACATACTACGTGGGTGGAGCCGCGGGCGAAAGCTAGTGAAGACATAATGGAACCGACAGATAAATGATGTAACAAAGAAATGAATTGTAAAACTGATTGAAAAAGAGTAACCATGGAGTTTCTTGCTCGTCCTTGTCCATGGGAATCTATACTTTGGAACGAGCAAATAGCTTCACTAGAGGACTGACCAACAGACTGCCACTTGGAACTTCTTATGTATTTAATTATTTTGTTTGTCTTTTAAAAGTGCCTATAGAAGTCTATTTTAACTTTGAACGGATAACACTTCTGTTATTACAGGTGTCCATGGGCGTCGCCGATTGCTTACCATCAGGTAATTCGTCTTCCGTTTGCCGTTGTATTAAAAAAACACCAGTTTCTACTATAGGTTTCATCTTCCAGGATGAAAAGTAGCCAATGTTATTCCAAACTAAAACATATTTAAAATTTTCCGGTTTTGAACCTCCGGTAACCTCACTCACACGGCGAAATACAACGCTGTGGTTGTTTCACGCCGGTTTTCTGTGAGGCCGTGGTATCATTACGGTCGAGCCGATCCAAGCATGGCTCTCCTACACTAATATTATAAATGCGAAATTTTGAAAACCGGCGTGGACAATAGTGTTTTGTCGTATGAGTGAGGTTACTGGAGGACCAATCCTTCCTCCCCCAATCCCTAATCCCCAAAAGTTCGGCAACGCACTCCTAACTCCTCCGTTGTCCATGGGCGGCGCTGAATGCTTACCATCAGGCAATCCGTCTGCTCGTTTGGCAACCTTTAACCAAGAAATAAATGACTAAAAAAACATACCCAGCTATGGTGTCAGCTAAGCGTTGGACGGGGGCCTTGCTAGCCTGCGCATCCTCGACAAGGCGAACTATCTGCGCCAGGGTGCTTGCTTCCCCCGTATGGGTCGCGGTAACCAGAAGAGCGCCGTGCTGATTTATACTGCCGCCTATCACCAGCGAGTCTGCGAAGAGGGGGGGATATTGTAATCACCATAATCAGTCAACATCATCATTACCCACTCATCCTCTTCATAACTTACTCAACTTAACTTCATTGCCAATTCCATAAACCTTCATCACAAATTCCACCCATAATCATCACAAACTCAGTTCGTCTTCATCACCTATTAATCCACACATCATCATTACTAACTCCACATACCATGATCACCATTTACGTGTCTACCATCCCAACAAACTACACAACTTCGTTATAAACAAGGATACTCATCATCATTATAAAATTCCAATTACCACCAACGCTAATTATCATCGAGATTATCATCCCTAATTCCAATTATTATTATCATCATTATTATCACCAAGCTACTTCTAACAATTATCATCATTACTAAATTTAATCATCATCATCCCTAACCCCATTTATCTTTATCATCATACCTTACTGAAATTATAATCATCATCATCATTCGCTCCTGCAATCATCATCATCACTATGTCAGTAAAAAAGATAAGTCCTGCTAAACCCTTCATCATTAAATCAATTCATCACCATCACCAACTCCTCCCATCATCATCATCACCTACCACCAATCATTCGCTTACCTTTAGTCTTCGGCACGGGCATAGATTCCCCAGTAATGAGTGACTCATCACACGTACTCTGGCCGGAGAGAACCTTCCCGTCTACCGGTACCTTAGCCCCTGGCACCACCTGAATGTGAAAAGATTATTTAAAAAAAAGTTACACCCACACTAGTATTTTCTCCTGTGTCGTGGGTTTTTTTTGTGTGGGGAAAGTAATCAAATGACTTCCCCCGCCTAGGGCCGGGCGGGAGGGAGTGTCAGACTCTTACTGACTAAAAACCCCCCCTGTTCTTTCTCCTGCTCTGGGCGCAGGTAACAGGGTTACAAGTCCAGGTTTCCTCACGATGTTTACCTTCACCGTATGTCACTGGTGTCTAAATAATCATAGAAAGTACATATAACTCGGAAAAAGTCACATTGGTACTTGCCAGGTTTCGAACCCACGCCCTCATGCACGAGAAGCGGGCTGCTTAACCTCCGGGCCACCACGACGTTTTAAAAGTTATGAGGGGTTAAAGTGGGGAAGAAAAACCGAATGTCTGCAAATATGCTCAAGTGGGGTATCAAATGAAAGGTTACGACTTGTACGTCACAGAAAAACAAAAACTTTATTAAGTTTGACGTGTCTGTCTGTGTGTCTGTGGCATCATAGCTCCTGAACGGATGAAACGATATCAATAAATAACTATCGTGAGACATACTAAATTAACTAAAAATCGCGGGTTACTAGGCTAGTAGTAGTTACGGTTAGTAGGCTGCGCGACGACGTCGCCGCGTCCGCGCACGCTGCTCATGAGGAAGAACCCCTCTGTGGTTCGAAACTAGTAGAGCTTTTCTCAATATATACACGTGAGGAACCCGCGATTTTTAGTTAATTGATATCAATTAAGTTTTTTTTTGTATTATAAATATACTTTTTAAAGGTAGCTTATGTTTTTTATGTCGGGATTTTTTTAAAATTTTGAATTTATATTTTTTATGTCGCATTTATTCGATTTCAGCCTATACAGGCTGTCGATCACACAAAAAGTTTTTCAGTCAAGCATACCCTAAGGATCAGCCGGGGTTGCGGGGTAAGCGCAATGAGGTACCGCGACCTCGGCCCAGAGCAGGAGAAGGAACAGGGGGTTTTTAGTCAGTAAGAGTCTGACACTCCCTCCCGCCCGGCCCTGGGCGGGAGAAGTCATTTGATGATTTTCCCCTCACAAAAAAGCTTACCCTAAGGACATCCCCTCTCTCCACCAAGTCGACTGGTATACTCTTCTCGCTGACTGGATGTCCATTCTCGTCCAACGACACCAGAACTGCTTCCGTCGGCTTCAAGGACAGAAGTTTTGATAGAGCTTCCGAAGTTTTGCCCTGAAACAGAGGTGGAATGTTAAGTCCAAACCAATATTATAAATGCGAAAGTTACTCTGTCAGTCTGTCTTTTCTTAACGCCTAAACTACTTAACCGATTACTGTGAAATTTGGTACAGACATAGTTTGGAACTCGAGAAAGGACATAGGATAGTTTTTATGCCAAAAATTTGCAGGATGTCACTATTTCAAACGAACGGAATCGCGGGCAAAAGCTAAGTAATCAATTAATAAGTGTGGGAGAGCCAAGATTCGGCACGAGTGGGTCAGCTCGACCGGAGTGATACCACGGCCTCGCAGAAAATCGGCGTGAAACAACCACAGCGTTGTGTTTCGCCGTGTGAGTTAGGTAATCGGAGACCCAACCCTTCCCCTCCCCCGACCCTTCCCCAATCCCTAATCCCTAAAAGGTCGGCAACGCACTCGTTACTCCTCCGTTGCGGGTGTCCTTGGGCGGCGCTGATTGCTTACCATCAGGTAATCCATCTGTTCGTTTGCCGACTTATTACATATAAAAAAAATCAGCTACTCTAGGTTTCACCCGCTGCTCGTCTCCATTTGATCGTAGCGTGATGTTTTATAGCCATAATATTGTAGCTATATCAGTAAAAGAATTTTGGCAATCCGACCAGCTGTTCCAAAGATTACCCCCTATATCACAAACATACAAATTTTACCTCCTTATTATATTAGTATAGAAGTATTATGCCTACCTTTGCAATATGTTCAAGCCACCTCCCCAATGATACGAAGACTAGCAGCATCGGTGGTGTGTCGAAGAAGGTCACCGGACTTGTATCTTGCTGCATCGCCATGGCTGCTATCACTACCGCCAATGAGTAAACGTAGCTAGGGTAAGGATAAATAATAGTTAATAAGAATGATAATATACGAGCTAATTTAACGTGTCACGGGTTCGATTCCCGCACGAAACAATTCTTTGTGTGATCCACAAATTGTTGTTCCGAGTCTGTGTGTGATGTGTATGTGAAATTGTATGTTTGTAACCGCACCCACGATACAGAGAAAATCCTAGTGCGGGGCAAAAAAAAAACAAAAAAAAAATTACTAAAGTACTTAGCACGTCGGCAATCGAGTGAATTAGGTAGTTTTCTAGGTTCAAAATAAATTAATTCGACGTTTCAATACAATAAAATATTGAAAAATAACTATACTTTTTTCTTCAATCGATCGATACACTAAATTTTACTTTTTTATTTACAAATTTTTGAGAAATAAGTGAGCTATTTGACGCAAAAATACTATGACGTCATAACTCAGCATTTCATACAAACATAGAAAATTATCGTTTTTGACATTGAATTTGACTGGTAGGTCTGGTAGGACTACCGTATTTTTATCATTACTGTATAACATTCATAAGTGAAATTCATTGTTTTCAGTTATTACCTATAACATTTTCATCGAAGGTAATATTTTATTTTATTATGTCAATAGTTGGAAACTACCGTATTGTAAAACACGTCCATGGAGTTTCTTCTCCATAGGAATCTACACTTTGGAACGAGCAAATAGCTTCACTAGAGGACTGATCGACAGACTTACACACAAACTTTTTAATATTAGTTCGTTTTGTTTGACGTTCAAAAGTGCCTATAGTGATCAATTTGACATTAATGATTAGACTTTTCACTTTTTGGCAAATAAAAAAAATATACAGATAATATTAATCAAGAAAATAACACTTTTGCTTAAAGCTAATAATAAATTCAGAATATTAGGTTAGTAACTAGAAAATCCAGCCAGTAACTAGAAAATGCCTAAGGCATTAAGTCCGCCTGTACATTCTTTTGTATAAAGTGTATAAATAAAATAAATAAAAATAAAATCCTGTATTTCAGGCAAGAGAGATTTATATATTCAATAAATAATAACCTGATAGTAGTACATGTTATAAAAAAAGTCATTAGTATAAATGTGGATGGATGGAGAGGGAGAGTGAGACCAAAGAAAATATGGATGGATTGTGTGAGAAGTGATATGGAAGAGGAGTTAGTGATAGCGTGACGGGTGACAGGACAGAATGGAAGAAAAAACATATTGCGCCGACCCCAAATAAAACGAGACAAGGGCAGGAAGATGATGATGAATTACCTGATAGTAGTAGTCATCGATATAAGAACATCCATGTTGGATGTTCCGTGCCGTAGCGCCTTATAAGCTTGCTTGTAAAAATGCCAACCGCCGATAAACTGAAAACCGATAAAAAAACATATAAATATTATTACTATTTCATAAACAATTTTATGAAATACTAGAGCTACTCTCGCGCTGTTTCACCCGCTGCTCAGCTCTATTTGATCATAGCGTGATGTTTTATAGCCTATAGCACTCAGGAACATTGTAGCTATCTATCAGTGAAAGAATTTTGGCAATCCGACAAGCGGTTCCAAAGATTACCCCCTACATACAAAATCACAAACTTACAAATTTTACCTCTTTCTAATATTAGTTTAGATAAAGATTCTAAGAGATCAGTGTCATTTTTGAACCAAATCAGCCAACAGCCTCTTCTCACACGGAGAAGGTTTGAGCATTAATCACAACGCTTGCTCAAGGCCGGTTACTGATTTCAAACTTATAATTAGAAATTACAAGTCCAGGTTTCCTCACGATGTTTTCCATCACCGTATGTCAGTGGTGTCTAAATAATCTTTGAAAAAATCTCATAATAATCACTAAATAGTATCTATAAAACAAAGTCGTTTTCTCTGTCCCTATATCCCTATGTACGCTTTAATCTTTAAAACTACGCAACGGATTTATAAGCAAACAATGTGAATGTAGCAAACAACAGACTAACTTTTATACCACTTTCAAAAGTATTTATAAACAGACAATTCTTTTTAAACCATAAACATATCTAATGGCGTTACGAGTATCAATTCGAACAAATACTTTTATTATTTTGATACATCATTGCAACAGGATTGTGACACTTAATATATTAACACTCGGTTTCCGAAAGGTCGATCAATGTTGTTGTTAAATTATCAAACACCCATCAGATGACAAGAGATTTAACAGGAGATTAGTTAATTGTAGCCTTTCAGAAACCGGGTGAGAGTAATTGAATAGAGAGGTTTATAGGTATAATAACATCAAATAAATAGTGGAAAATTTTCAATTCAAGTCGGGGCGAGTCGCTGGTTTACTGTAAAAATGGGCATTGAGAAATAAAAAAAAATATTCAATTCAAATAACTAGTCATAGTAAAAATAACTTGTTTGAAGTAAAAAAAAAATCTAGAAACAAAAAGTTACCTGAACGGGCGTCGAAAGCAGGAACATGATCAAGTTGTCGAGACTCAAACCCGGTACCACGCAGCACATGTCCTTGGCGCTGTGTCCATGGGACATGGTGGCCATGAAGTAAGCCATCGCTATCATGCATGGCCCTCCGAAGAGAAGGGAGACCAGGAAGGCGTTGCGCCATTTCTTTATTTCTTCTCTGTAAGAGACGATATTGAAGAGAGTTATGCTTTGGCACGAATGGGTCGGCTCAACCGGAGTGATACCACGGCCTCACAGAATACCGGCGTGAAACAACCACAGCGTTGTGTTTCGCCGTGTGAGTGAGGTTACCGGAGGCCCAATCCCTCCCCTTCCCCTATCCCTCCCGACCCTTATATCCGCAACCCCTATCTCCAAAAGGCCGGCCATGCACTGATAAATCCTTTGGTGTTGCGAGTGTCCATGGGCGACGCCGATTGCTTACCATCAGGTAATCCGTCTGCTTGTTTGCCGACTTATACCATAAAAAAATAAATAAAAAAAAACACATAAACTTCATTTTACCCTGCTAAAGCGACCGAATCCACTTGTGATAGCTAGTATAGTAAAATTGAAAAACTTACTTGTGTTCCAAATAGTTGGTGGTGCCCCTGTTATGTGGAGTTACAACGCTTGCATCAAATCCGAGATTATTGATAGCCTCGCAGATGGTCCGCGGACCTATCTGTTCCGCGTTGTACTTTATTTTACCTCTGTAGACAAAATAATTGAGAAATTGGTATATTACGAATGGGTCGGCTCGACCGGAGTGATACCACGGCCTCACGGAATAACGTCGTGAAACAACCACATCGTTTTGTTTCGCCGTATGAATGAGGTTACCGGAGGCCCAATCCTTCTCCTTCCCCAATCCCCAAAAGGTCAGCAACGCATTCGTTAGGCTTTAGGCAGACGGACTGCATTTCAACTGCAATCTAACTGCAAGTTTGCAGTTCGGATGCAGTTCTATTGCAGTCGACACGACTGCAATAGAACTGCAAAACAACTAACCAAGCAACCAACACAAGACTGCACGCCGACTGCAATTGAACCGCAATCGGACTGCTCGGTTGGTTTGCAGTTCTATTGCAGTCGTCTTAACTGCATTCAAACTGCAAATTTGCAGTTGAAATGCAGTCCGCCTGTCTAGAGCCTAACTAGAGTCTGTTGTTGCATGGGCGGCGACGATTGCTTACCATCAGGTAATCTGTTGGCTCGTATGGCGACCTATTACATAGAAAATGCCCTGTTTGACCCTATCTGTGGCAGTATTTTGGCTTTATGAATGAAAATCATCAAATGACTTCTCCCGCCCAGGGTGCGGCAAGAGGGAGTGTCAGACTCTAAATAACTAAAAACCCCCCGATCCTTCCCTTCTCCTACTCTGGGCAGAGGTCGCGGTGCCTCATTGCGCTTACCCCGCAACCCCGGCTGAACATCAGCCCTATAGGGCCCCGTCTGATCGTGAGTAAACCTGAACTTATAATATCTAAATATAAGTTTGAAATCGCTAACCAGCCTTGAGCAAGCGTGGTGGTTAATGCTCAAACCTTATCCGTGTTAGAAGAGGTCTTGGCTCAGCAGTGGACACTTATAGGCTGATGATGATGATGATGATGATTATGGAAAAGGCAGTACTCACTTGCATGTAGTTAATGCGACAGTACAGGATACGACTCCAGTTAATTTGAGAACACTTTTTTCGATTTTATTGACACAGGAAGCGCAGGTCATTCCTTTTATCTGAAATTAAAATACTTTTTATTATTTTTTTAATGTCGCCCCACGCACTAGGATTTGCTCCCGTGTCGTGGGTGCGTTTACAAACATACAGTTTCACATACAAATCACACCCATACCTGGAACAATAATTTGTGGATCACACAAGTGTGGGAGAGCCATGTTTCGGCACGAAAGGTCGTCTCGACCGAAGTGATACCACGGCCGCAAGAAAACCGTCGCGAAACAACCACAGCGTTGTTTTTCGCAGTTTTGTAAATTTGTATGGGCAAATTCTTTAATACATGCTAGATAAAGGTAGCCTTTATAAGCATTTGAATCTTTTTTACTTATCCAACTACATATATTATAATAATCCCCAAAGCCTTCGCCAAGTGTGGGGATTATGGTATACACGCCATTGGAAGTCGCCAAACTATAAAAAATAGTTTTTATGAAAAAAAATTGCTTAACTTACGGCAACATGCAGATCCTTCTGACCACTTCCATCGCAATCACTAATCACGCTGGATGGAAAGCCAAGCTCGGTAATACAGTTGGCGATATCAACCGCCGATATCTTGGCGGGAGAGTATTTCACTTCTGCCTTGGCTGCCAGAAGCGCTACCAGGATTGAGTGGACACCTGGACAAGAAAGATTAATATTTAGGCCACGTTTCGGGGCTGTTCGATTAGTTTCGAGCTACACCGGGGCTCTTAAAGATGTGTTTAAAAACTCTTGTAGTTCACAGAGATAATTGTGGGAAATATAGTGGATAATGCGGTAGTTTCTAACCACTTTCATCCAAATATCAAAAACTAGCTACTCTCGCGCGGTTTCACCCGCTGCTCGGCTCTATTTAATCGTAGAGTGATGTTTTATAACCTATAGCCCTCAGGAACATTGTAGCTATCTATCAGTGAAAGAATTTTGGCAATCCGACCAGCGGTTCCAAAGATGACCAGGGGGTCATCTTTGAAAGCAACATACAAACTTACAAATTTTACCTCTTTATAATATTAGTGGAGACTAAACTTTTTATGCTATTTGTATGAAACTCCAAATCATGACGTCATAGTATTTTTAAGTCAAATACCTTACTTATTTCTTCATATATTAAATAGCTAAAATTTAGTGTATGGAGATCGATAAATAAACGTATGGTTATTTTTCAATACAATTAATTTATTTTTGATCTAGGAAACTACACAAATATTTTATTAAAACGTTTCAAAAGTACCTGTTTATGGTTTAGTTGGAATAAATTAATGATATTAAAATTATACAGGGTGTAAAAAGACACTTAACGAAGCCGAAAGCCACGTATTCTACCCATTATTTGGATCATTTTTTTCTGTAAGACCATAGCTGGGACTATACGGGTTCTCGAGATATTGAAGGTCAAAGATACATTTTTAAATATTTTTTTTGCGCAATCGAATTCTGAGTATTATTACAAAACATTTTTCCAAACAAACATTACCTGAACTTTCGATTTTTCTAAATTTGAAGTTACGAACAGTAATGTACATAATAAATAAATGCAGACCCGCACAAAAAACATCGTGCATCTCAGTAGGATTTTTATTTTACAGAATTGTTTTGTTGTTGCGAAGTAAAACGTCGACCTACGTACTTATCACAGCGTTTTAATGCAAAGCTGTGAACCTACGCATACAATGACACGAAGCCCGTCTGCTTAAAAACATAGCGCGCAATATTTTTTTTTTATACCTAAAAATAAAAGTCGTTTCCCAGTGATAATTTTAGCGTAAAGCTACTTAGTTAGAACTGCAGTTAACGGCTTCGTTAAGTGTCTTTTTACACCCTGTATAGCCCATTTTTCCCAATTTCCCCTCTACTTTTTTAATATTTTCTTTCATAAGAACCTTCTCCTGACAATAATAAATACAAAACAAAAGGATTTGGCAAAATTGGTCCAGCCGTTTTTGAGTTATGCGCTTACCAACACATTTTACGATTCATTTTTATATTATAGATTTATTTAAGGGCTGATTTTTCAATGGTTAGATAAAAGTTACCTGGGGAATAATTACGATGCTGTCGCGTCAGAATGTTTCTATAAGACAGTGACAGCAACAATTTTATTCCTCAGATAACATTTATCTGACTATTGTAATATAATGTTATAATAGACTTCATACCATATAGCTTTTGTACATGTTTCTCTATGGCAGCGACGCAGGAGGCGCAGGTCATGCCGCGAACTTCGAGGGTGCAGCGTGAGGTCTCGCCCTCTGCTACCGGAGAGGAACCCTGGTAACAATATGTATTTTTTTATGTAATAAGTCGGCAAACGAGCAGACCGATTACCTGATGGTAAGCAATCAGCGCCGCCCATGGACACTCGTAATACCAAAGGAGTAATACAAATGCGTTGCCGGCCTCTTGTGATTTGAGGATTGAGGATGGAGGAGCTGGAGGGAGGGATTGGGCCTCCGGTGATCTCACTCACACGGCGAGACACAGCGTAAGTTAGCTCAGCCTGCAGTTGCAACATTTTGTTTGAGTGAGGTTACCGGAAACCTAAACCTTACTTAGAATGGGGGGAGATATCTCCAATTTTCAAATCTCTAATCCCCAAAAGGCCGGTCACGCATTTATAACTTCCTTGGGTGTCTATAAGCAACGCTGTTTACTTACCATCAGATTTCAGGCGTCTACACGCTAACTATACAACATGTAAAATACTAAATAATTAATAAAAATAATGAAACAGTACTCACATTAACTTGAGTTCTGCTCTTGACTGGAGAAGGTGGTTTCGCTCCATCCCCAGACCCTTCCTCACTCTTGCTTTGTGATGTAGTTTCTGTAACAAATATCATTTTTATGAACTAAAATCATCATTATAATCATTATAAACTAATCTTGGCAGATGACTTGGAGGATACAGTTACATCTTTATAATATATAAACCAAAAAAATCTTAATAACTACTAAGAACTTTTCATAATCACCAAACTTGGAAAAGAGTTTGAATCTCACAATTACATCACCGTAAGATTATGTCGCTAGAATGTAATCAAAATCAAGCCTTCGCGATAATCTCTACACGTGGCAATAAGATTGGGGATTATCATACAGCCTGAATAAAAACGATGACCGTTAAGGTAGACGTGTTCTAGAGAGGAGACCACGACTAGGCAAACGTAGTGTAGGGCGCCCTCCAGCTAGGTGGACTGACGATATCCGCAGGGTGGCTGGCAGTGGTTGGATGAGAAGAGCTGAACATCGAACTCAGTGGCGTGAGTTGAGGAGGTCTATGTCCAGCAGTGAACGGGATGAGATTGACGATGACGATGATGATGATACGGCAACTTGAATATAAACTGTTTTGTTATAAAAGTGCAAACCAGCAGACCTGGGATTACCTAATGGTAAGCAATCGGCGCCGCTCATGGACACCCGCAAGACTATAGGAGTTACCAGCCTTTTGGAGATTTGTGTTTTGTGTGGAGGAGGGGAAAAAGGATTGAACTTAGTGTAGTACGTTACCGGCCTTTTGGCGATTGGGGGAGGGGAAAAAATTTAAATTAGTGCTGAGCCTTTAGGGGATTTGGAGAGGGGTAAAGGATTAAACGTCTATGGCGATATATGGCTAAACGATAAATGTCGTGGTGGCCCGGAGGTTAAGGAGCCCGCTTCTCATGCATGAGGGTGTGGGTTCGAAACCTGGCAAGTACCAATGTGACTTTTTCGAGTTATATGTACTTTCTATGATTATTTAGGCACCACTGACATACGGTGAAGGTAAACATCGTGAGGAAACCTGAACTTATAATTTCTAATTATAAGTTTGAAATCACCAACCCGCATTGAGCAAGCGTGGTGATTAATGCTCTAACCTTCTCCGTATGAGAAGAGGTCTTTGCTCAGCAGTGGGCACTTATAGACTGATGATGAAAGGATTAAACAGAGTGTAGTGTGTTATCAGCTTTTTGGGGATGGGGTCTGGAGATTCCAGGAGGAAAAAAAAAGATTGAACTTAGTGTAGTACGTTATGGCCTTTGTGGGGATTGGGGGATTGCTTGGAGATTGATGGAGGGGAAAAAGGATTGAACTAAGTGTAAAACTGACCTGTACATTGATCCCCGTCCACAGCGAGCACAGTGACAGAGAATCCGAGCGCGTACACAGTGTCGGCGAGTTGTCGTGCCGTGGTCGTGCCGCGCACGTATCGGATACGCGCCGTGCCCTCCGAGAGGCGTACTGATACTGATCTCACGCCTGAGAGCTCGCGGAGTGCACCTGGAAAGAGGGGAATATATTATAGATAACTAGCTGACTCGTTTTTGTCTTTTAAAAAATAAGGGTTGATCGTAGAAGGGTGAAAATTGAGGATTCTGTGTATTTTTGTTTGTTGTATCATAAATTTTGTCTAAAAAATAAATTAAAATTTAAGTGGTTGACTAGCCCTAACATTTAAATGGATGAAAAATAGATATTGGCCGATTCTCATGGATACCGATAAGCACAGTAAACTTTATCAAAATCGGTCAAGCCGTTTCGGAGGAGTATGGCAACGAAAACTGTGAATTTTATATATTAAAAGATATATGCGGCGCCAATGGGACTGATACCACGACCTCAGGAAAAACCAGAGTATAACTACGCGTGTGTAGTTTAGAGCTATATGCATGACGCTTCATCCCCTCCCAACCTAACTCGAAAATTGGCAATCTTCAATTTCTAACAACCTCTACAGCCGTCTTCAAAACCAAGCGTCTTGAAAGATTGCTGTAGCTAATGCCAAGTGTGGGGATTAATTTTTTTTAACGGAATAAGTCGGTACGCCAGCAGACGGGCCGCCAGTGCCGCCCGTGGTCCGCAAGTGCGATGCCAACCTTTCAGGAATCGCAGATTTGATGATAGGATGGGACGGACTCTTGTTACGAAACACAACACTGTGGTTGTTTCACGTCGGTTTTCTATGAGGCCGTGGTATCACTCCGGTCGATCCGACCCATTCGTGCCGAAGCATGGCTCTCCCACACTTAAGTAATCAGCGCTACCCATGGAGTTATGCAACTTCAGAAGAATCACAAGCGCTTTGCCGGCCTTTTAAGAAGGAGATAGTATGATGACAACGATGAAAACTCTTCATATCCTTACCTTCAATAGTATTAACACATGATTGGCAGGTCATGCCCACGACCGACAACAAGACTTCCTGTTCGTCCATCTCGCCGGTACCGGACATGTCGATCAACAAGTCTGTCGGTATTTCTTTTGGTAATAAGTTTCTGAAAGAAGATAATAGTTGAGATGAGAAATTGTCAAGCTTAGAAGATAGTAAATACCTGACCTCAAGGGTTTTCCAAAAAATTTGCTATGTATTATAAAGTTTAAAAAAGACGGTTAAACATTTTTATTATGCACAATGTTTTATAAAGCATATTTTAGAAAAGGATCAGTACTAAGTATGAACTAAAAAAATAAATTAAATAGCATGTGTACTTATCCTAAGACTTTAAGAAACTGAGTAAACAACATTTGCAACCACTAATCTGACAAAATATTTAATTAAGAATCAATAAATATTCAATACTTAAACGAAGGAAAAAGTACTAGTCTTTGTAATGTTGGTCTACTAAGAAGACCAAGTAGACCACGAAAAGACCGAGTAGACAAACCTTGTTTCGTGCTCCGTTGTGTCATTGGGCACCTCGAAGCCCATGTCTTCTATATGAGACCGGATAGCCTCCTCTGTGATGGTGCGCGGCTCATATCTGAAGTAGCCCGCGTTTTCTGATAGCTCCACCTGCAAGCGAAATTATAATTTTATTAATAGGTTGTAAGGTTGATATGAATTTGGGGCCTGTTGACCTGCTTTTAACGGATCAGCTTTAAAAATGTTGATGATATATTTGGAGATGACGAACGGTATTATTGCTTTCTTTGCTAAGGTTTTTTGTGATAAACTTTGGCACTTTTGCCCAGGCTTAAATTAAATGCAAATTTAATCTCTTCAAAGAAAAGATATGATTAACATTTTTCAGCAGCCAATTATTATATTACCTTAACATAAGCGATGCCAGGTAACTCTCTGACGGAACCCTCGATGCTGCGGACGCAGGACATACAGGTCATGCCATTTATAGGCACACGGACGGCCACCAGCTCCGCGCTCGACTCTCTGTGGACAAGGAGATAGGGCGAGGATTAACAATGGTACTTTAGAATCGTGCTGTTGAAGACCAAAATTATTTAAATAACGTTTAAGTCTATTTTAATGTAACTAAGGACTAGGAAATATTTCTCGCGCGACAAATACAGTAGTTTCCAACTAGTCAAATTCAATACTTTTATCCAAATGTCAAAAACGATACTGTATGAAACGCTGAGTTATGACATCATAGTATTTTAGAGTCAAATAGCTTGCTTATTTCTTAAAAATTTGCTACAAAATATCGAAAATTTTGTGTATCGACAAAACAATGAATAAATGTATATTTATTTTTCAATATTTTATTGTATTGATACTTCGAAACTAGCCAATTGCACATGATTTCGCTAGCAAAATTTGTCGACAGCGTAGCACTAGAGAAATTAAAGTTTCTCGAACATGACACTTCTTCAATAGAAAACATATGAAGGTTGAAACAATCAACTGTCAAGCCTTATGTTGCCTGTCAGCAACCAACATTGCATATGTTGATTGTGGCTACATTATTTCGATTTGTGAGAAGATTTGTGCATTTACCACCACGCTTGCTCAAGGGCGGTTAGCGATTTCAAACTTATAATTTCTATTTATAAGCTTAAAATCGTTAAGACCAGGGCGTCTACTCTTATTCTACGAAAAACGAACTTTCGATCGAAACTTCGCGTGTTTCCTACCATAACTAGTTTCAATTCGTTCCGAAATATCGTTCGAACGAAATTTTTTGACATTTAGAACCTACTCTAATCCTTATTAGCTCCGAACGAACTTTTGAATTTGACAGACGATGTTTCGGATTTTTAACTTCAAATTGACGAAACCAAAAGTGTTACCTTTTAATTTTCGTTTAGTGTGGATTTTGTATGAAAATTGTTTGAAATGGCTACAAGAATGCTCTAAATCGAAGCTCTTTTACGTGAAGAACGTGTAGAGCGTAGAAGGAACAACCGGCGCTACCTGCGCAATCTACTTAATATACCTAAGTCAAATTCCCGACTTAGAGTTTGTAGGACAGTCGCCTATTATTTTGGGAGCTACGAGAAACTAACTTTTGGAAAAGTTTTCAAACAAAAACTCATAAGTTGTATGTTAATGTTATTATATGTTTGCATGAAGGTACTCCGATTATTCGGAACGTGTTAGTTAGTTGGAAGGGGTAAAGAAACAAATTGCTGCGCTCGTCGCGGCACAAATATGTAAAAATGGGGAAGTAAATAAAATAACACTTTTGAAAAAAATACTGAGTTTAATTTCCTATGGTTCTGCACTTATAAAACAAAAATTTAAAAAAATATTAGGTATCATTTTAAATTAAATTTCAGTTTTCTATTAGAACACATAACAAGGAGTATCATTTTAAACAACTTATTAGCATTTTATATAACATTAAAGAAATATCATAACTGTAACACATCCAAGAAGCATTATTTACAAAATAATGCTCAAAATAAAAATAAAAATAATTGAACATGAGTGTAATATGAATGGCTTTGTTTTAATTCTATTACATTTTAAAAAAAATTGTTTTAATTAACATTGCATACATTTTTATCAAATTCAACGACAGGTTTCTTTTCAAATGTAAATAATTGGACATTTAGCTTCGACTCGCTTTGTCACACAGTCTTCTTCCACCACTACACAGTCAATATTAACGCACAGCCATATTATTATTCACATTAGTTCTTTGTTCTTCCACATCCCTCACATGTTCTTCTAACACCAATTTTACCTTTTAGCACAGTCTGGGCTTGGAAAATTATTGTGTGTTTAAAACACTCAAATCCTGTTTTTTTAATAATATCCATTTTTTATACAATTCAATAAAATTCCTTTCACCACATATATTTATTGTCTTATATAGTATATTTTATTAACTCGTACATTGATAAAAATAAACAATCTGTTGACATTAATTTTTTGACACATGTCGTGCACGGTCCGAATACAGCCATTTTTGGTCGTCATACATAACAACCCTTTCTTGGCATAAAATAGTACTCTTTAAATTAGTCGGTTATAAATGTCTGAAAAAGGTTTTTTATAAAGTAACGATGATAAATTACACGATAAATTTCAATTCCGTCAAAAATAAATATATTTTTATTTTCTGCGTGGCATATTATAAGTAATAGTTTTACAAACCACATATATATTGTGGAATTTAAAGAAACAGCCAGAGAATTTGTAATTTTAACTTTAAGTAAAAACCGTAATTTACCACAAATCACATTAAAAAGAACCTACACAATTACATTCGTTCACGAAAATTATCTCTGGATCGAAATTCGTATGCATGTCCGAAAATAAAACAGAGTAGGGTCGTCAACGTTCTTTCGTTCGAGTTTCGTTCGTTTCCGAAAGTTTCGTTTCGAAGAAAGAGAGTAGACCCCCAGGTTTTCTCATGACGTTTTCCTTCACCGTATGTGTGGACTATAGAATTTAACATTATGTACTTAAGATTAACTAACGTCTAATTAGTTTAAGCACGTTTCTCAATTATCAGAAACACTCGTATTGTACCATGTAATGAGCGTTTTGTTACAAGGTAACCATAAAACGATTGGCTATGGTACTTCTAAGATAACGTTGATACAGGCGTAAGGTCGGCAAACGAGCTTACTGATTACCCGATGGCAACAAGAGATGGCGGTAGACTTACGAGTGCGTTTCCGACCTATTCGGGATTTGGAGATATTGGGATTGGGTCTCCGGTAACCTCACTCACACGGCGAAACACAACGCTGTGATTGTTCCGCGTCGGTTTTCTGTGAGGCCGTGGTATCTCCCCGGTCGAGCCGACCCATTCGTGCCGAAGCATGGCTCTCCCACATTTTCATTTTTTGAAGAACAATAAGAAAAATAACACCATAGTTTACTGACTGGGGCAGGCTAAGGTAAATAGATGACCATCGTGTGATAATTCAGTGGCAGAATACGCTAGCACTTAGCGTACAGTACGGCCGACGTATCTTGGCGAGTGTGAAGTTAGCCGTTTGTCTGCGCAATGGTTATTTTAGGAACAAAATTGTGTACTGAGCAGTTAATCGGCTAACTTCAGTCTCGCCAAGATACGTTGGCGGTATTGTATAAGTCAACTATCGTAGTTTAAACAGTTTCGTTTATCAGATCAGAGGAAGCTTTTTTGAATAAAAAGAAAATCATCCAATAACTTTTCTAGTTCTAGGTGGGGTTCATGTCGACTCTTACTGCCTTAAAAGCACCACGAATCCTAATAGGCTGGCTACGCCTTAGCAGGCTCAAATTTGTAGAGACTACAGATTTGGGGTACAAGAGTAACCATGGAGTTTTTTGCTCGTTCTACTCCATAGGAATCTACACTTTGGAACGAGCAAATAGCTTCACTAGAGGACAGACGGACAGACTGACACGCCTAAAGTTAAAGCTCTTCAAATACTTTTTTTTTTGCTTGACGTTCAAAAGAGCCTGTTGTTGTCTAATTGAAATAAATGACTGACTTTGAGACGGAATTTGGACTACAGATATTAGAAATTAGTTGTTTTCTGTGAGATTATAGTATCCGACCGACTTGTGCCGAAGTATGGCTCGTCTACACTTGAAGACTTTTGTGCAGCGGAGGATTCCGAAATTCCTTAAGAGAATATGTTGCAAGATTTGTTAAAAACACAATACACATTTTACAGTAGATCGTAAACAGTAACAAACATAGACTATCTCGTATCGCGTTTGAAGTTTAACAACTGATAACACAAGATTTTGAAAGATAATACAAAATCAGATTAATGACTGCCACTACGTCTGCGTTTCTCAAAGTAGTTCAAAATAAAATGGGGGTCGCAATATTTTAGTTTTATCTTTAAATTCATCATCATCATCATCATCATCATCATCATCATCATCAGCCTATAAATGCCCACTGCTGAGCAAAGGCCTCTTCTCACACGGAGAATGTTTAAGCATTAATCACCATCCTTGCTCAATGCGGGTTGGCGATTGCAAACTTATAATTAGAAATTATAAGTCCAGGTTTCCTCACGATGTTTTCCTTCACCGTATGTCAGTGGTGTCTAAATAATCATAGAAAGTACATACATATACATACATAACTCGGAAAAAGTCACATTGGTACTTGCCAGGTTTCGAAACCACACCCTCATGCATGAGAAGCGGGCTTCTTAACCTCCGGGCCACCACGACATTATCTTTAAATTATATATTAGATATAGATTACTACCCAGAGAGGAATATTCCACATAGAACCATGGAAAGAAAGGATAGGCCAAGTTACAGCCTGTACTGCTCACGATTATAAACTTAAAACTTATCGATCACTTTCTTCGAAGTATAACAAACAATATTAAAAAAGAAATATTTACGCCCGGGAGCTACTTTAAATAAATGGTAGTATTTTACATAATATATACTCGTATAAACGCATAATTACAAGTATGTTTAATAGTTTGAAACTCCTTTATACCTACCTTACTTTAGTCTTACTTTGTATTATAATCGCAAGTTTCTAATAATGATTAGAAGTTTGATAGTCTTTCACGTAAAGACTACGAGAAAAACACACGGGCTAAGCTGGTATTACAGTCAAAGCCGATAGCAGAAACTAGTTAAAAGTCAATGGTCTTAAAGTGCTTAACACTTTAAGTATAAGTAATAAGTGATGTAATAAGTAAAGTATAAGTAAGGCAATTTTAAAGTCAATTATAGGGCCATGACAGAATAATCTTTGGGAAACATTGGACTTATCATTAACCTGGCCAAGTTTGTCCTGATGCAATGAGCGCTTTGTTTTGTAATTTTTACATAGATAATAAAATCTTAAGGCCGCTGCATGCAGGTTGGTTTCAACCGAGCTAACTGGAAGTCTTTTTTATGACCAAAGAGGCGTATTATCTGATGGTAAGCAATCAGCGCCGCCCATGGACACTCGTGATATCAAAGGAATTACTACAAATGCGGTGTCGGCCTCTTGTAGGTTG